TTTGAAATGACTACATTTCTGATCACAAAGCTGCTACCGACTAGCTGTCTGATCTTGTCAAAGCTACTTTACTTTTCAGTTACTCAAGGCTATGAGGAAAATAATATAAGTTGTGCTTCTCAGGGTGTTATAAGAAATACCAGACACCAAGTACCACATTCGATTTCTAGTGCAGGGCTCACAGTTGGTGCTGCACCAGCTGTGTCTCTTGCACTGGGAGGCAATAATCATCCTCTCTCCAAATATCCAAATATAGTGTTCCCCATGCACAAAGGGATTCTTGCAATTATGAGAATAGCGTCACAATAGTTTGCGATGGTTTTGCATGCATCTTATCAAGCCAGTGGAATGGAACGTGTAACGAAGAAGAGGGGGAGAAGTCTGTCTAGTTTCTAAATGCATTGCTATAGAAACACACCCTGAGAAAGGGTTGGGGCGTGGCTCAAGTGGTAGAACACCTGCCCAGCAAGTGCAAAACCCTGAGTTGAAGCCCCAGAACTGCCAAAACAAACAAACAAAAACAGGGAAAAGAAAATCCAAGAGCACTGTTGAGTTTACAAGATGAATGTCAAGTTAATTCCTACCAAACAGATTACAATGACTTTTGCTTTTTATGCTTTATACATCTGTATCATCTGAATTGTTAGAGGTGAAACATTCTTTTATTATTTAGGAGATTTTATTATTATAAGTGAATTGTTCCCTCATGTTGCTAGACCAGAGCTCCTTGAAACCTAAGATCAGAACACTGAATTAAATGATTTTATTTTACTCTCAGAGAAAAGCAAATGAAACCTTTTTTCTTGATCCTTGGTCCAAATTCCACTTCTGAATGTGATTATGTAATCAGATGTGATTTAGCCTACTCACCATGACTTGGCTAACTGCATTCATTAAGAGATACTGAGTCAATGATTGCTCAAAGAACTTGTTTGACTTGGGGTGGCCAGAGCTTGTTTTTTTTTTTTTTTTCCTTGTGGAGCTGGGGACCAAACCCAGGGCCTTGCACATGCTAGGCAAGTGCTGTACAAGGAGCTGCATCCTTAGCTCAGTCTGGCCAGATCTTCTCCATACTTTCCGTCTCATGTCAAGTGAGTTAATGTTTGAGACATCTGGGCTCTTGGTACCTTACTTCTCTAATTCTTAATTTACAAAGTCTGTTCACACCTGCATTTTTATTAGCTCTTATAATATCCAAAACAACAGATGTTTTTTCTCATATTTGATTACCTGATATATCTGAAATGTGTTTTGCTCACAATAGGTGCTCAGTAAGTATATTTTTGAATGATAAAAAAACAAGGTATGGAAGAGGGGAGAAAAATGCAGATGTCTGAGGGCTGTGCTGTTAGCCAGTACTTTATGTCCCATGTCACACTTATCTCCCTGTTTGATAGCTTATTGGTCACTGCAGTTCTGCAGACAGTGCTCTAAAATCCAAGCCAAAGGTGCCAGGCTAGCTTTGGGAGCTCTCACCCCACCCTACATGGCCAGGGGAATTCTTGACCAATGGCCATGACAGTCCTCCCCTCAAAGAGGACTGGAAGAAAGATGGACATGGTGAGATTTCAAGGGGAACCCTGTGCACAGGCTCAGCCTGGTCCGTTCCCAGTTGAACCATCACTCGATGGTTCTGGAAGCCAAAGCTGCTGTGCGACTGTCCCTGCTGCCATGGAGCAAAGTCCAACACAGGAAGTCTAGTGCTGGCTGACTGCTCAATAACCAGGATGCCTTTCAACTTCTCAACTGAGTGACTTTCTTTTCTATAGGTGCAGAAAGTTTGTTCCACCACCAGCAGCACCTCCTTATTCCAGGCAGGGAAGGGCAAAGGTAAAAACATGGATGTCTACTGAATCAGTTGCTTTTTATTTTACTTAGGAAAACAGTTGTTTTCTGAAAAGCTCTACTTTACCTATTAGACTTCTGCTTATGTCTTTTTTTTTTTTTAAGATTTATATCCAGACTGGGTCTCACTGCATAGCCCAGGATAGCCTTGAACTCACAATCCTCGTGTCTATGCCTCACAAGTGCTGTGATTACTGGTGTGCACCACCATGCTCCACTTCCTGTTTATGTGTTATTGACTAGAACCATATCATGACCCCAGCCACAAAGAAGGCTGGAAAGTAGAGTTCTTGAACTGAGCGCCCTACCACAGTGAACAGAAGTTGGTTATGTGTGTGGTACAGACAAAAAGAGAACTTGGATATTAACAGGAAACCGGCATGGTCTACCACTGGATACACAAGCATGAGCTGTTTTCTAAAGCCCTTATAGCTGGCTCTCTACCTTAATCACATGTGTTTGTTACATTGCAGTACTCTGGTAGAGAATAAAGGAAGCTAAAAAATCTGTGCCCCAAATGGGAAAGGACATGTTGTAATTGGATGTCACCATTTGGGACAAATGTAAGAGAAAGAGGGAGGCAGGTTGTCTCTGGTCTATGGGCTGGACCCTGACAGAATCTTTCTGTGTGTACCCTGCTAAGACAATGAGAGAGGGATCTTGTGATTTCTTCATTGTTCATGTTTGATTGGGTGGAGTTCTTCATACTCATCAGAGTTTATTGTTACTGCTCTGCTAGATAATTCTCTTTCTTTCTCTCTCTCTCTCCATGAATTTATATACCTTTAAAATGCCCATTCATACAGGGAACTATTGTGATATGATTAACATGTGTTAATCGGTCATATGTTCTTATACAATTTGCATTGTGGGCATGTATTTTTAATTTATAGAAATGGTGTCAAGTTACATGCCTCATTCTGTCTCTCATTTTCTATTACAGCTTTGCTCTCTGGATTGATCCACAGTGACTTACCTACATGCAGTGATGCTTCTGAGTGCATCATTGCATCCTCGTGTGCATCCACCATATTACATCCTCGTGTGCATCCACCATATTACATCCTCGTGTGCATCCACCATATTACATCCACACACTGTGTTATGGGCTGAGTTGTGTTGTGTTCCCCCCACAAAACTGTATGTTAAAGCCCTAGTCCTAATCAGCTGTGATTTAGCCTATTAACCATGACTTGGTTAACTGCAGTCCTTAAGGCTTATTGAGTCATAATGATTGCTAAATGAACTTTGACGTGGGGTGGCCAGATTTTTTTGTGTGTGTATGAAGCTGGGGAACAAACCCAGGACCTTGCAAATGCTAGCCCCTTGGGTCAAATATCAGAGAAAGAGGGAGGCAGGTTTTCTTGTCCATGAGCTGGACCCTGACAGAATCTTGCTTTGTGTACCCTGCTAAGAAGATGAGAGAGAGGTGGGAGGAGTTTTCACACTCATCAGAGTTTGTGGTTCATTATCACTACTGCTCTGCTGAGTAATTCTCTCTTTCGCCATCCATAGAGGTAACTATTGTGATGTGATTAACACATGTTAGTTTTCATATATTCTTACACAACTTGCACTGTTTGCAGGTGCTTTTAATTTATAGACATAGTATCGAGTAACATGCCTCATTCTGTCCCTCATGTTCCTATGATAGCCTCGCTCTCAGGATTGATCCACAGTGCTTTACCTACTGCAGTGCTGCTTCTGAGTGCTGCATTACACCCTAGTGTGCATCCACCTAATATCATCCACACATTCTGTTATAGGCTGAGGTGGGTTGTGTTCCCCCACCCCCCAAACCATGTGTTAAAATGGTTCTACCTCAGGATGTACCCATGTTTGGAGAGAGGTCTTTGAAGAGTCAGTTAAGGTTAATGAGGTCATATGAGTGGTTCCAATTCATGTGACTATTTGAAATAGGCCCTCACAGGACTGATGAAGGAAACCAGAAGCTTTTAGATTGGACTCTAGTCCAATGTGACCAGTGTCCTCATAGCAAGAGAGACTCCAGGGATATGCAAGCACAGAGGAAAAGCCAGGTGAGGACACAGGCAGAAGGTGGCCATCGGCACCAGAAGGTGGATGTCATCACTCGTGGACTTCAGTCTTAATAGGAGTTCTAATAATGATTGGTAGTATAGAAACTGCTGTTACATTTTTTGAATGAATCTGGCATCCTCATAAGGATTAACCTTAAGGAATTGCTATTTCTTTAGGTAAAAGTGGCTAAATATTAAGTGTCATTTCATTCAATCTAATACATTAAGAACATATTCTTTGACTCACTAATGTTATGTTTGGGAATCTAGCTTGTAGGAATAAAACCACTGGAAATGTAAGACAGGCTGGGGACACAACTCAAGAGATAGAATTATGCTCTTCATACAAGGATACTTATCTCAGAATTCTGGATAGAAATGTAGAAATGACTTCAACATTGAGGAATAAATTCTGTATGCCCAAATTATGTAGTCTTACCCAGCAACTAATGAGTTGTATTGTTATCTGTTTATTTGGAGAGAGGTCCCTGTTGTTAACTGGGAGAGGGTGGGTAAATACCATCTTTAGAATAATCCTATTTGTGTAGAAATGGGGTGGAAGGCTTCTCTGCGTATTTCTGAAGGATCAGGGAGAAGGGAGTGAAAAAGTAAATGGGGAATAGTAACAGTAGTTATCTCAAGGAGGGGTAACGAGATTGGGGCAAGTTTGAGGCTCCTTTAGACATCTGTGCATTGTATCACTTTCTATTACATGCCTGACAAAGGTTGGGCTAGAATTTGGTGGTATGTAATTGATTACAGTGTGAGTTGCTGGGGATTTATTTGGGCCAGTAGAGATGTCAAAGGCTTACTGGGATCTAGTTTATTGAACATTGAATGGATGCCTGTGCTAACCTAACCACTTGATGCTTAACTCTTTTCATTCTCTAAAAAGACACTTAATTTTATTCTTTAACACACACACACACACACACACACACACACACACACACACACACACTCAAGTATTGCTAGGTTCCTAGTGCCCCTCCTGTAACCGTCGCCCTAGGGGTTTCCACTCTTCAAGAAGTAGCTCCACCCAGGAGAGCCCCAACCGCTCCCCAGGAGTTAAAAATCCTGGTCCTGGGCGCTGTGCTGAGATATCATCTGGGTTTCTCTGGAAGTGGCACGTGCGGACTCTGTGAGTGAAAACAACTTTCTTTTCCTACCTCTCCGGCTCCCGCCCAGCGGGGACGCCCCTGTGGAAGAGCGATCGATCGCACTTGGCCCTCCTCTGGTGCTGGGTACTGGCTGGGAACGGGGTGTTCCCAGCCTCAGGTCTCTGCAAGGCCTTGTGGAGCGTGGAGCCTGAGCTGGGCTCTGCAGGGACAGGCGAGGCCCTCTCGCCCTGCGAGAGCAGCCGCTGGGACGCGCCGACTGCGAACTCCGGGTGCAAAACTGTGGCGGGTGCGGAGGGGACGGGTCTGCGGGAACTCGGGCGCGCGCTCTGTCTGCGGGGTGGAGACTCGCGCCATTGCGCTGGCCCTTCCTGGGCGGGCAGGACAGCCTGGTCCCCTCTGCCAGGGAGCTGCGGGCTTGGGGCGAGGCCTGAGTCACCAGCGGGGGCCATGTTGGGGAGAGACGCAAAAGTGTGTGGACTCTTGAATCAACAAGGCAGTAACAAAAATGAGACCCAGAAGGGGAGGAGAATGATGGTTCCTGAGGCGGGGAGGGGTGCGGAGAATGGACTTGTTGGTAAAGGTCACAAAGTGTCACATAGGACTATTGTAGTAATTACATTTACCAAATGGCTGTACTAATCTCAGCACTCATGTTGTTCTCTAAAATGTTTTATTTTATTCAAAATGTTCTATGTATGCCAATGATGTACATTTCACAATAACAAGGTAAGTTTCAAATGTCTCTCCGTAGAAATGGTGGGAAAAGGTGATGGGTGTGTAAATTGCTGCATTTACTCACTCTACATTGGATGCATATATCAGTTCACATTGTTCCCCAACATCATACCGTACAACGATTCGTCAACTCAAGAGAATATTAAATATTTTTAAGAAGAAGGAGGAGCTGGGGTTTCGATTGTCTGCCTCACCTTTGTGTTTGCGATGTGGAAGTGTCCCCTCCAGCCAGAAGTGTCCTTCTGCCCTGTCCACTGTCCCTTCCAGCCTGAGTGTCCACTCTGTCCTGTCCAGTGTCCCTTGGTCCTGTCCAGGACCAAGCTGGGGAGGGGGGGAGCGGGCTTCTCCATGGTAGTCACTGGAGGGACAGGCGTGGCTTCCACGTAATGAGGAGTGGCTTGGTCCCCAAAGTCCTGACCCCAGAGCACAGGACAGCCTTAATCATCTTTCTTGGCTCTGTATGGAGACAAGTTTAAAGTCAGGTCCTTCATTTCTTCACTGGAGCCAATACCAGGCCATTCCTCCTGAAAGTGAGGGGACAGCAGCGCCACTCAGCGGCTCTCGGTGTCCCGAGGCCGGCTTAGGTTGAAACGCTCCTTCCATCTGAAATAGGAGTGTGGACTGTGTGTGTGGTCCTGTGTGTCCCTTTTCTGAGGATTCACTTCATGATAGGTGAGAAACAGAGTATTTGCTGTTCAGTGCCCTAGAGAAACTCTAGCCCAACCCTGCCTGGGAAGACGTTCTGTGTTGGTTTACATTTTTCCTTACCTTGGAGGTTTCTTTATGCCTCAGTTTCCCCATGTGTGTACCTACAGTGATGACGAAGTCTCATGGGGAAGTCATGGGGATGAAATGCGATCATAAGAAGTGCCTGGCACAGCCCCAGAAGCAGTGACCACTAAAGCTGTGTGGCTGAGTTAATGTAAAACCTGAAACTTAGAGAGGCACTGATGGTGTAATCCTAGCTACTTGGGAGGCTGCGATTGGGAGGATCATGGATGGAGGCCAGCGCCATAAATAGTTCATGAGATCCCATCTCAAAATTACCAGAGCATAATGGACTGGGGGTGTGGTTCAGTGGGTAGAGCGCCTGCTTAGCAAGCGTGAACCCCAGTTCCACCAAAAAAAAAAAAAAAACATAAAACAAAAAACCCTGAAACTTTGAAAGTACTACAGGAAAACATGGAGGAAACACTTCAAGATATAGACCTGGGCAAAAGCTTCCTGAGTAGGACTCCAATAACGGTAAGAATTGACAAGTGAGATTGTGTCAAATTAAAAAGGTTCTGCTTAGCAAAGGACACGATTACCAAAGTGAAGAGACAGCCTACAGACTTGGCCAAAATCTTTGACAGCTATTTGCCCAAAAGGGATTAATCCCCAGAATATATAAATAGCTCAAAAATTTAACACCGAAAGAACAAGCAATAAATGGGTAATGAACTGAACAGCTACTTCTCAACACAGTACAAATGGGCAATAATTACATGAAATAAGTTCAACCTCTTTAACCATCAGGGAAATGCAAATCAGTGGTACACTGAGATTCCATCTCACCCCAGGCAGAATGGCTATCATAAGAATACAAAAGGAACTTAAGACTGGCAAGGATGTGGGGGAGAGGGAACCTTTACACCCAGTTGGTAGGAATGTAAATTACTGCAGCCTCTATTGGAATCAGTATGCAGGTTCCTTCATAAAGCTAAAACTAGAACTAACATATGATCTGCTTTACCAGCATAAAATAGACATGTGTGCAAACCAAGCTTATTGTGACAGTAGTCACAATCGCCAAGTTACAGGATCAGCCCAGGTGCCCATCAGTGGATGAACAGATAAAGAACATGTGGTAACATACACAGTGCAGAATTATTCAGCCATACAGAAGAAAGAAATATGTCATTTGCAGAAAAATAGAGGGAACTAGAGATTATGATGTTAAGTGAAGTAAGGCAAACCAACAAAGAAAGTATCACATGTTTTCTCTTAAATGTGAATCTGAGAGAGAGAGCATGAAATTGAAGGGGTACATTTACAGAAAAGGAAGGGATGGGGAAGGGAGAGGAGGATTGTGGGAGGTTGGACAAGATCAAAATGTGTTATATGCATGTGTGAAGTCACAATGAAACTCATTACTCTGTATAATTAATATGTGCTAGTAAGAAAGAAAAAGAATTTTGGTTGATGTTAAATGATCACATGACGAATGGTATGGTTGTGCTCTCTGGTCCACACAATGGCTAGGGAACTGTTAAGACAAGCCACTGTGCAGCACTGAGCATATGTTTACTGTGTTCTAGAAGCTTCAAGATGGTGCATGCTAAGAGCTGGACCCTGAAGAAGCACTTTGAAGGCCCCCCTACCAGTAGTAACTTTGAGCTCAAGACTACTGAGCTCCCACCCTTAAAAAATGGAGGTAAGTCAGACCCCCAAAATTTCAGATCAAAACACTGTCTCAGTGAGCCTTTTTTGCATCAGAAACCATCTCAAACTTAGTGACATCACACAACAATTGCTTAGTTGTTTGCAATTCTGAGGTTTGCAGTTTGGCTTGGGTTAAGTTGAGTGATTCTTCTGTAGGCCTCATCTGGGTGATAGTAGGCTTTCTGCTGAGGAGCAGGCCTCAGTTATCTATCAGGTCCTCAGGCCAAGTTCATTTGAGCTCTATTCTCATAGAGGTCTCACAGATCTAGAGTGGCCTGAGCTGGGAAGCTTCAATGTGCAAGCACTTCCAAACCTCTCCTTGTGTTTGTTTTTGCTAATGTCCCATTGGTCAATGCAAGCCACAGAGCCATGACCAGATTCAATGGGTGGGAAATACATTTCTTTTTCTCATTTATTTTCTTTCTTTCCTTCCTTCCTTCCTCCTTCCCTTCCTTTCTCCCTCTCTCCCTTCCTTCCTTTTTTCCTTTCTTGCTTTCTTTCTATCCCTCTCTCCCTTCCTTCATTTTTTCCTTTCTTGCTTTCTTTCTATGTGTGTGTTGTTGCTGGATATTGGATTCAGTGCTCTGCATGCTAGGCCAGTGCTCTACCACTGAGTTACATCCTCAACCCCTCAACCTCTGCAAACACATTTCTTGCTGGGAGGAGTACCCAAGAGGCCAGCACACATGGGTGGGAGGTATTGTACAATCTGCCATTGAGGTTTTTGAGGTCCTCTAGATGAAGTCTTCATGTCATCTTGGAGGACCCCTTCCTTTCTTTGAAGATAGAAATTCATGCTTTTGTGCACTGCCCAGATAATGGGAAAGGTGTTCTCTCTGCCCTAGTCATCCAGCCCAGCAGCCCTATGTAGAGTTCGGACTACAAGAGGTGTCTATGAGGGATATTTATTGGTAGATGAGCTTTTGAGAGAAGGAGATGCAATCCAGTAGCATGGCATAGGTACCAATGTCATTTAAGTGATGCTAACCGGGACTTGGATTCAATACTCCAGCAAGAGTGTACATGAGGATTACTTCAGCAAAGAACACATTCTTTGGCCCTAACTGGAGTCGCTAATGCAATCCTAGGTGAGCATGGTGACAGTGGTTGCAGATGTGGCCCTGAGCACGTTACTCCACCTAAACTTCTATGGAATGGAAACAGTAGTTGACAGGGAAATACTCATGTAATGCCATGTCACTTCCATTTTTCCTTTTCTTATCATCATCACCATCACCAAGAATTTGGCTAGGCCAAATGTGAGAGCCCTTGTGTCTTCAATAGAACACACAGATGAGGGGCTGGGAATGTAGCTCAGTGGTGAGTGCTTGCCTAGCATGCACAAGGCCCTGGGCTTGATACCCAGCACTGCAAAAGCAAGAAAGAAAACAGCAAGCAAAGCCACAAGTCAGCACAAATGACAGGGAAACCCTGAAGCAAATGGATAACCTGTGTTTATTGAGAATGTCCAAAAGCCACAGGCCTCAGGTTTTGCACTTTTAATTTCCTATGCTGTGCTTTATTTTTTAGAGGTCTTGCTGGAAGCTTTGTTCCTCTCCGTGGATCCTTACATGAGGTATTACCTCCCTCCTAAAATTCTTATATTTTTGTGTCTGACCATATTTAGAAGTATTTTTAAAGTAGCAGCCAACTGATTCAAAATCCATCATTTTCCCTTTCTCCCAATATCTGATCCATGATGGGATTTCTGCCTGCTCATCCTTTGCAGGAAAATATCTGAGATACTGGGAACCTTTATTTACAACTGTCTCCTATTTGCTCCACACATCTTGCCTTCCAGAGGGGGTGAAAAAAAGAAAGAAAAACGAAGCTATACCCCAACTTTCCACTTTATTGCTGATAAATATTTTGAGCAGAGATCAGATTATTTGACTAAAATCACTATTCTTGCCTTCCATTGACCTGTATTCTTTTTATGTAGGTAATCTGTAGTTTACCCAAACTTATAAAACTCAGTAAACAACTGGTGGGGAGAGGTAAAAATGCTTCAATGGGCCACTAATGCCTCAATAACTTTCTACCTCAGTAACTGACATAGCCATCACCCTTTTAAATATTGTTTTCATAGCTGACTGATAGTTGAATCTTAAGGAAAATTACTCTTTAAAGGTGTTAAATAGTAGCTGGTCATGGTGGTGCGCACCTGTAATCCTAGCACTCAGAAGCTGAGTCTGGAAGATCACAAGTTCAAGGGCATTCTGAGCTACCTAGTGAAACCCTATTTCAAAAACCAAGACACAACACAAAACAAAATGTTAATTACCATCCCTTTTCTTGTGACTAGTGTTTTGTGGAACAAGGACCCAGCAGAGGACGTGTTACATTTTTGAAGTTGTGAATAGAAGCTCACTTTCATTTGACTATAGTAGTGAGAGTCTCCATAGAAACATACTGCCAAGTGCATCTTTGGGGTCACAGAGCAGAAAGACTTCTGCCAGCATTTTAACTGGCTGTGCTGCCCTTGTGTATCTGGGTTCTATTTCTCCACATGCTGCTACACCCACAGTTTTCAGTTTAGCTTAAAACTCAAGACAGTGTGTCCAAGATGCTCATAAGTAGTAAAAATGGATTTTTTTTCCAGAGTTGTCGCCAAAAATTTGAAGGAGGTGACACGATGATGGGTGAGCAAGTGGCCAGGTAATAAGTTACATTTCTACCAGTGCTTAGAAAATCTGTCCCTTCTTTACTTCCTGCTGGGCTCTGTCTCTGTCCATTACCCCTATAATTCCTTCAGCCTGTGTGGTTTACTCACTGTGTGATCCTGGAAGCAACGTGGGAACTCCTGTCCCCTTTGTGGCTAATCGAAAGGGAGTGAAGGATATTGTATTAGTCCCACTTTGATTGCTGTGACCAAATACCCAAGAGAAACAACTTAAAGGAGGAAGTATTTATTGTGGCTCATGGTTTCAGAGGTTTCAGTCTCCGTTGATTCTGGGCCCATGGTGAGGCAGAACATCATGGCTGAAATGGCAGACACTCCTCACTTCCTTGCAGACAGGAAGCAGAGTAAATGCCTGTCTTCTGACTCTCTCCTTTTTCTGCTTTTATTCCATCTGGGCCCCCAGCCTATGGAATGGTGCCACTCACAATCAGTGTGGATCTTTCTCCCTTAGTCAATCCTCTCTGGACCTGCCCTCACATACTCGCTCACAGATGTGCTCTCCTAACCTCTCAGGAGCTTCTCAATCCAGTCAAGTTGATAATCCCGATCAACTATCACAATCCCAGCTCTTGTCACCTTGACATTGAAGCATATCTCTGTAAAGCATGACATTCCACTCCCATCCCAGAAGACTCATGTTCACCTTATTATGCTAAATTCAGTCCATTCAGTCCATCTCCAAGACTTCTCATAGTCTATTTTATTTTTTTCTCAGTAGTGGGGTTTGAACTCAGGGGCTCATGTTTGCTAGGCAGGCTCTTTACCACTTGAGCCATGCCCTAGTCAAGTCCCTCTAGTCTTAACAATTGCAACATTGGTCAAAAGCCCAAGTTCAAAGTCTCCTCTGAGATTCAGAGCATCTGTACCCTCTCCTGGGTAACTTGGGTCAGAGGGTGGAGGCTTTCCCTTAAAAAGAACAGAAGCAGGTGAGGACAGGGATGGGTGCTGGACCATTTGAGAGAGTTCTTCTCTGATAGTCCCTATGCCAGCTGCTAAGAGAAAATCCACCTCAGTGCCCATGGATGAACCTTAATCACACATCATCCTTAACTCTGATGATAGGGAAGAGGTGGCATATGTCATAATGTGCTTTATCTTTCAGAGTCGTGGAAAGTAAAAACTCAGCCTTCCCAACAGGAACTGTTGTACTGACTTCATCAGGCTGGACAACGCACTCCATTTCTGATGGGAAGGGATTAGAACAGCTGTCTGCAGAGTGGCCCAAAAAGATACCACTGTCCTTGGCTCTGGGGACAGTAGGCATGCCAGGGTGAGTTTTAGGGGTATATTTCACTTGTTTGAATGCCTGACACTGAGGTTTCCCAAATTAGTTTGTCTGAATTTGGTCAATAAGAAAGGACTTGGGGTATTATAGGCCTAAGGCTGATTAGAGAAGATGGTAGGACTAAGAAGGGAAGGAGACCAACCCTAGAGTCCATTGATGGAATAGTGTATCACCTTAAAAACAAAGGGATTCCTGATATTTATAACATGTATGATCCTGGAATATGTTAAGTGAAGTAAGTCAGGCACAGAAAGTCAAATATGCAGTCTCACTTCTATGTTGTGTTAGTTTCTTGTCACTCTGACAAATACTTGAAACAATATAAAAGGCTCACAGTTTCACAGGGTTCAGTCCATGGTTGGCTCACTCCATTGTTTTGGACGTGAGGCGAGGCAGAGCATCATGGCAGAGAGAGTGTGATGGAATAGAACTGTGTGCCTCATGGCATCCTGTAAAAGGAAAGATGGTGAGGGACTTGGGAGAAGGTAGTTTTCTCCATGATACACCCCAGTGACCTACTTCCTCCAAGTGGCCCTATCCAATAATGCCATGATATTATAAACCCACCAAGAGATTCATCCATTGATTAGATCAGAGTCCTCATGATTCAATCACTTCTCAAAAGCCCCACCTTGAAACCCTGTATTGGGAGCCGAGCCTTCAACACATGAGCCTTTTGGGAAGACACCTCACATCCAAACTGTAGAATATAGGTGGAATCTGTAAAAGTTGAACTCATGGAAGCAGAGAGGGAATGACAGGTTCCAGGGGCTGAGGGCTAGGGGACTGGGGAAATGTCAATCAAACGATACAAATGTTTACTTAGAAGGATAAATTCAAGAGATGTGTCATGAAATGTGGTGACTATAGTTAACAACAATATATTGTATTTGAAAGTTACTAAGAAGGTAGATTTGAAGTGTTCTTGCCACAAAAATGATACCTATGTGAGGTCATGTGTATGTTAACTGGCTTAATTTAGCCATTCCACTATATATTTCTTGAAAAAATATGTCGTATACAATTTTAATTTCTGAATTAATGGATGGGCTAGAATTAGCTTTGAGGCTAAAGAAAAGGGGGAAAACCAGGCCAGGGACTGTGAGGTCTGAAGAGAAAGTAGCTGTGAGAAGTGACATTGTCCCTCCAAGCAGGTGACAGATGGTGATATCAAGGAACCAGCTCTAGTTGAGTGCAACGGTACATACCTCCAGTACCAGCTACTCAAGATGCTGAGATGGGAGGATCCTTTGGTCCCCCGAATTTGAGACCAACCTGAGCTATAGAGCAAAGCCTTTTCAAAAAAATAATTATTTAAAATAAAATGATAAAAAATAGCAATTTTTAAAAAGGAACTAATCCTGTGCCTGGGAGGCTCTTGGCTTCACTCACTGCTCATCTTTGCCTTCCCCTTAGAGTATAGAAAAGGAAAGAAAATTCTGTCTATCCTAGTCTATTTGCGCTTTTGCTCCTTCCTCACTGTTCCCTACACACATCAGAATTTCCTGCAGTGTAAGAAGATCTGGAGTTTAAATAATTGACTTTGTACAGTTGCTCAGCTTGGAACTAACTTCCAACAGTCACACTCTCATGGCTTTATCACTCAAAAGACTCCAGGTCTTCCGGTGTCTCCTCGCCAGTTCCCAACCAAATGTTAGACCTCAGGTTTCCTTTCATGCCTTGGCAAAGCTTTAGGGATCCCCGAATTCACTTCTTTCCTTTCTCTAAGTTGTGTGATTTTTTTCTTTCCTGTTGTTTTCAGTTTTAGTTTTTCTTTTTCTTTTCTTTTTCCTTTATCCATCTTCCTTTCCTCTTCCTTTAAGGAATTCTAAAGAGTAAGGTGGAAATATATAACCCCGCCAAGTGATTAGCTTTTCTGAAACAACTTCTAGATACCACAAGTTCATAGTCCAATTAGCATTTGAATTCAGAATAGTACTGCAAGAGCATCATTGTGAAATTAGTGGATCCTTAATACCTTCTCATGTTCCATTTCTGGACACTGGCCAGAATTACGGCCCTTTCTGGTATGTCCTGTGCCCTCTCCTGGTGAGAGGTCTTCCTCCCTCCTTGTCATCCCACCTGTCCTCTCTAGACTATAAGGCAAGTGTAGGACCACAGAAGTGAGGGTACATAATGAGGAAACTTCATGACTTAGCAGGGGAAAGTAGTTTGTAAAGTATTAGGACACTTTGTCTCCTAAAACTGAAGATTATTTATTCATTTGTGCATATTTCTTCTTCATCTGTTCATGTGCACTTTTACTGTACTCAATCAACTTTGTGCCCATGGTTCTCAATGATTCAGGGGAGGAGTTACGTCATGCCTGCTTCTAAGCTGGCTGTAGCCACATGTCACCCATTCTTTGAGACTTCCTGCCATTATGGGAACTTACCAATGGTATGGGTCAACTTTCAAGAATTCTGGGACAGAGACAGCCATAGTGGCATAATCCCAGTACTCAGGAAGCTGAGGCAGGAGGATCTCAAGTTGAAGATCAGCCTGGACTACATTGTGATTTTTCTAGGTCAACCTGAACTACAGAACAAGACCCTGTCTGAAAAACAAAAACAAAACAAAAAGAATGCTAGAATTGCGGCCATAGACTGTAAAAGCAGTTGACTTTGAAACCAAGATGTCATTCAGGTGTCCAAGCTCCACAGATTGAGCAGTTCCCCCCAAATATTGCATCATTCTCATCAGTGCAGTTGGCAGAGTTCATATGTTTTACTCTCCAAGCAAAATTGATTGTATTTCAGTCCCCTTTGGTCCAAAGTAAACCTTTCACTTTCTCCCAAGGATTTCTTTTCTGTTGAATCCTCCATCTTGTCTCCATTTGCTAGGCAGCTTTCATCACCATAGCAAATAATTGAGATAACCAACTGAGATAACCAAAAGGGGTATTTTAGAGGCTCCAATTGATTGGCTTTGAGCTTTTGGACCTGTGGTGAGGCAGCACAGAATGGCAGGAGCACATCGTAAATGGCAGTGGCACATGGCAGAGTCAATCTACTTACCTCATTACCAGGAAATGAAAGTGAAAAAGAAGAAAAGGCTGGAGTCCCACAAGCCCCTTCAAGGTGACCCCTCAATGACCTAAATACATCCCACAAGGCACAACCTCTTAAAGTCTCCATCACCTCCAAAAGTGCCACCCTCGGAAATAAATCTTTAATACATGGGCCTTCGGGGGGACATTTAAGAATCAAACTGTTGAGTGTAGTGACACATGCCTATAATCCTAGCACTCAGGAGCCTGAGGCAAAAGGGTTTGGAGTATTGAGTTCAAGTAGTATGAGGTATGTAGCAAGTTCCAGACAAGCCTGGGCTACATAGTGACATAGTGAGATTCCATCTGAGAGGGAAAGAGAGGGAGACAGAGGGAGAGTGGGAGGGAGGGAGAGAGAAAGAGTTAGGGAGAGAAAGAAAGAACTACTTAAAAATCCTTGTTTCTTCCCTTAGCCTAACTGCCTACATTGGTCTAGTTGACATCTTTGATGTGAAGGAAGGAGAAACAGTTCTGGTCAGTGCCGCAGCAGGAGCAGTGGGCTCTGTTTTTGGGCAGATAGCAAAGCTATCTTCCTCCAGGAAATTTATTCAGGACTCACAGTGTGTACTGGGAATGCAACAGTGAACACAGTGGACCTTCCCTGGCCTCAAGAAGTTTTCAATATGTTGGATCTGCTCTAGAAGTTAGAGATTGAGAAGTGGAAGAAATGGGAGAACACTGTTCCCAATCTCTTCAGAATAAGCTGAACATAGCTATTTGATAATACTGAGTTATCAAGTGAGGAATGGGCTCCATCAGCAGTAATGAGGTTGGAAGCCCTTTTCTGTTTTTTACTGAAAGTCTCTTGGTATAGCTTCACTTCCAATCTTCATGATTGTCACCAACAACAGAGAGACTTGAGATCAGCCAAGCTAAGTGTCATGGCGCCATTTCAATGACTGCTGAACCAGAAAGAAATAGGGCAGCCAGCACAGAGCAGTGGGGCCATGGCTTGTAAAACTACCTCTTGGGAGGTAACCAAGGCCCAGAAATTTTGGCTCTGATTTGAGCTGGTCTCTGATGAAAAGATCCAATCTGATGGTGGTATTCAGAGCAGCAAGCAGCTCAGACTGGGTCAGGGTTGTTATTACAGAGTGGGAATATGCCAAGGGGATTTCACTTGGCTGACCTAGCTTCGCCAAAAGGCTGTGATGCAGGACACAGGAGCTAGGTCCTGAGTCCTAGAGGACAAGGTAGTGGACTATCAGTGAGTACAGGAATCCACCCAACAGCCAAAGGCTCAGGCTATTCTCCAGTACTATTGCAGGCTTGGAATATAAATATGAGGCTGCCATAGAGGTTGTAGAAATTATTTATCTAAGTAAGTAAGTAAATAAATAAATAGGAGTAGAGGTTGAATTTTATAGATGCTATTTCACCTTACTAACTTTGCAATCAGTAAGTTTTATTTCTGTTTCAACATGGAACAGTTATAGCAATCCTAGAATAAGTTTTATTTATATGTGGTGTATTGTATATTTATATCTTTGGAATTGGTTTGATTTTTTTTTGTGTTTTTGTTTTTCTTCTTAGTTTGGTGCTGGGGACTGAACCCAGGCTCTAGCACATTTTAGGCACATGGACTACACCCTTAGTCCTGATTCAATAACATTTTATAGAGAGTTCTTTTTAAGTTACAGTTTTTTTTTGGAGGCATGGAGGTTTGAACTCAGGGTCTCATGCTTGCTAGGCCAGTGCTCCTAACTGCTTGAGCTACTCTGCCAGCCCTACAGAGAGTTTTTGCATCTTTATAAGTGAATTTGGTTTAAAGTTTTGGCTTTTTTTTTCTGAACCAGAGTTTCTAGCTAGATTTTGTTTATGATGGATTTACAAATCTTCCAATTGCAAATATTTTCTTAAAAATATGAAGAAGAATGCTGGGGGCTATACCTGAAGGTATAACTCAGTTGTAGGTCACTTTCCCTATTGTATGTGAAGTCCTGGGTTTGGGCCCCAACACTCAAAACAAATAAACAGGCAAAAAATTACAAAGGATTTTTAGTCCAAAAATCTGACAGGATTTGCCATTAAAATTATTCCTTTCACAATCCCAAGTACCACAAAGAAAAAAGCAAAACTTATTTTATAGTCAACCCTTCTGTTCATTTTATGTGTATTTCATATCAGTAACAGATAACTGCATTTTACTTTTTACCCCATCTGAAAGTCTTCATGTTTTAAGAGGTAAATTTAAGCCATTTATAATTAATTGTCAAAACTGGAATGCTGGGGATGGGAGTGTAGCTCAGTGGCAGAGCACTTCTCTATCATGTGATAGGCCCTGGGTTTGATCCCCAACACCAAAATTAAAAACAAAACAAAATCCAAGCTGAAATGTTTAGCCATATGTATGCTATTTTATTTTGTTTAGTTAATATTTTTCTCCTTATTATTTTATTTTTCTCTAATTACTTAACATCTAAGTTTTGTTTAGATTCTGCTAGTGTTTACCTTTTCTTTAAAATTCTCTTATTTATATTTTGCTAGTATCTATATATACATATTTTCTATTAAAAACAATAAGTTACATGTGTATATCAACTTCCAAAGTAGTATATTTTACCCTTTTATTCTACTGCCATTTCTTAGATTTAGTTTCAACATCTTAGGTTTAAATTCCAGACTCTTATTAAGGTTTATTGGATGAGACGTCTGAAGATGTACTGGTTAATGTGACAGCAGGAACAGTGGACTCTGTTGTTGGGCAAATGGATTAATAATTTGATAACATTATTGGGTACTAACTAGGAGGTGGGAACAGCCTGGAGAGTGTAGGTCACTGGAGGGGGTGTGTGCTTTGGAAGGGTTCATCTTTTCCCAGACACCTGTCCTGTTCCTGGCTGCCATGAGGGGAGAAGCTTTCTTCTGCCATGCCCTTTCTCCATGGTGTTCAGCTTTACCATAGGCCCAGAAACACAGAGCCAAGTGGCCATGGCCTGAAACCTCTGAGACCATGAGCTAAAATAAATCTGTCCTGCTTTAGTTGTTTTTTCTTGCATATTTTGTCACGAAAAGGAAACATTGACACAAGGTTTGATATTGGGGAATGTGACAGTATAAACTAGGAAACAAGACTTGGGCCATGCTCCTGGCTCATTAACCGTTCCCATTTTTCTTTCCTTTTAGGGCTGCAAAGTTGTCGGATCAGCAGGGTCTGATGAAAAGGTGGCCTATCTTAAAAAGATTGGATTTGATGTTGCCTTTAACTACAAGACAGTAGAGTCTTTGGAAAAAGCTTTGAAAGAAGCCTCTCCTGATGGGTATGATTGTTATTTTGACAATGTAAGTACAAACTTCATTCATCTGATTTATTAACAATAGAGTGTTATATAAAGGAATATATTTTTACTTTCTTTTTTTGGTGGTATTGGGGTTTTGAACTCAGGGCATTGCACTGGCTAGGCAGGGGTTCTACCACTTAAGCCACTCTGCCAACACAAAGGAACCTATTTCCAAAGTTCCCACCTAAAATGCATGACAAAAGTACATGTGCCTTTAAGCTAAAACTTCATTAGGATGTAATTCACACGGCATGTATTTCATTCATTGAAGCTGTAGAATTCTGGGCTGGGGTATAGTTCAGTGCAGTGCTTGCCTAGGGAGTACACATGTGAGGCACTGGGTTCAATCTCCAGCACTGCAACAAATTAAAAAAAAATTAAAATTAATGTGTAGAACTCACTATTTTTAGTACATTCACCAAGTCATAGAACCATCACCACCATCACTTTTAGAATCTATCCATCATCCCAAGAGGAAACTCTCATCACCAGTCACCCTTCATTTTTGCCCTGAAAAGTGGTGTTTTTGTGACTGTCTTCTTCCACTGAGTAAAATGTTTTCAAGGTCCACCCATGCTGCAGCATATGTCAGTTCTCATTGCTTTTTTGGCTGAATACTATGCCACGATACAAATGTGTCACATTTTCTTTATCCTCTAGTCAGCTGATGGGCATCTGAGGTTTTTTTCCCTATGTGGCCATTCTATAACTGCTGCTGTGAATGTCATGTACAAGTTTTTGTGAGCACATGTTGTCATTTCTCTTGGGAATTCACCTATCAGTGCAGTGGACAGGTCACACAGCAACTTCATGTTTGACATTTTGAGAGACCGCCAAAGTGTTTTGCAAAGTGGCCACACTTACTTCCAACCACAGTCTTTGAGGATTTAACTTTTCCACATCCTCACCAACACTTGTAATGACCCATTTTCTTATTACAGCCATCTTAGCCGGTTTAAAGTGATAACTCATTGTGGTTTTGGTTTGCATTTCCAAGCCAAATGGTGGCTAATGATACTGATGATCCCTTTGTGTTCGTTAAATTGTGTCACGTTTTGGAGAAACGTGGACTCAAATTCTTTGCCTGTTTTTAAATGGGTGGTTTCTGAATTCCCTGTGTACCTGGCTACAAGTCCCTTATCAGATACAGTTGATTTTCATTATTGTGGAACACTGAACCATAATAATGCTCCTAGAGAAATATGTACATATGTGTGCTTTTCTCAAATAAAGTAAAATCTTAAATGCTAAAAACAACTACTCTAGTAGTTTCTATTTTCTTTATTTTACCAAAGAGAGACTGAGGCCCAGAGTGGTAAATCAACTGCCTGGGGTCCCTCCACTTCTGACCCTCACAAAGTTGGTATCCATTTGTCATCCAACTCTGCCCAGAGCCAGAGCTCTGGAAATACACTGCCCTGCCCCCTGCTGTCCATCCTTTGTCATCTCTCTATGAGAGTTGGAACAAGAGCTTCACTTTCCTTGTTCTGCTGGGAGCATCTGTGCCTTTTTCCTTGCTCAGTGCACATCTGAAAATGACCTGGGAACGCTCTGAGTGTGGATTTTGAAGGTACAAGTAAATTTTAGCAAGACCAAGTCACAAACCTGTAATTGACTAAAACTGAAGAACAACTGTATGTGATTTGCAAACATTTTCTCCTGTGAGTTGTCTTCTCCCTTGATGGTATCCTTTGAAGCACGGTGTTTAAATTTTGATAAAGTCTAATTTGTTGTTTTTCTTTTTTTGCTTGGGCTTTTGGTGTCACATCCAGCAAGACCTTTGCCTTAGTCAGGGTCACTAAAATTTATTCTATTTCTGTGTTGTATTCTAAGAGTTTCATAATTTTAGTCCTTGTATTCACATCTGTGTATTTAAATTTTTTTTGGGGGGGTGATACTGGGATTTGAACTCAGGCCTTTCACTTGCTAGGTTGGTGTTCTGCTTCTTGAGCCATGCCACAGCCCTTTATTGCATTTTAAATAAATTTGTGTGTAGGGTATGAGAAAGAAGTCCAATTCCATTCTTTTCTACCTGAGTATTCAGTTGTGCACCATGTGGTGAAAAAACTGTTTTCTCCCCTATTGAATTGTTTTGGTATTCATGTAGAAAATCAACTTGATCCATTTTTGGACTCCCAATTCAGTTCTACTGATCTATATTTCAGTTCCTTAATTGGAAAGTATGGGTCTTCTAATTTTGTTCTTCATATGCCTTTTGAACATATTTCTTTTTTTTTTTCATTTTTCTTTTATTATTCATATGTGCATACAAGGCTTGGTTCATTTCTCCCCCTGCTCCCACTCCCTCCCTTACCACCCACTCCGCCCCCTCCCTCTTCCTCCCCAATACCCAGCAGAAGCTATTTTGCCTTTATTTCTAATTTTGTTGTAGAGAGAGTATAAGCAATAATAGGAAGGAACAAGGGGTTTTGCTGGTTGAGATAAGGATAGCTATACAGGGCATTGACTCACATTGATTTCCTGTGCGTGGGTGTTACCTTCTAGGTTAATTCTTTTTGATCTAACCTTTTCTCTAGTTCCTGGTCCCCTTTTCCTATTGGCCTCAGTTGCTTTAAGGTATCTGCTTTAGTTTCTCTGCGTTAAGGGCAACAAATGCTAGCTAGTTTTTTAGGTGTCTTACCTATCCTCACCCTTTCCTTGTGTGCTCTCGCTTTTATCATGTGCTCATAGTCCAATCCCCTTGTTGTGTTTGCCCTTGATCTAATGTCCACATATGAGGGAGAACATACAATTTTTGGTCTTTTGGGCCAGGCTAACCTCACTCAGAACGATGTTCTCCAATTCCATCCATTTACCAGCCAATGATAACATTTCGTTCTTCTTCATGGCTGCATAGAATTCCATCGTGTATAGATACCACATTTTCTTAATCCATTCATCAGTGGTGGGGCATCTTGGCTGTTTCCATAACTTGGCTATTGTGAATAGTGCCGCAATAAACATGGATGTGCAGGTGCCTCTGGAGTAACCTGTGTCACAGTCTTTTGGGTATATCCCCTGAACATATTTCTTATATTTCTTAGATTATAGGGCAATAAGACTACTGCACTGAGTAGAGAACCCCAATATTTAATACCCTAAAGTAATATAAGGTATACTCCTCGGGTTAAAGATTTGTGTTCATTTCTGATGTCTTCTCCTAACTCCAATTTTATGTACCGTTGTGCTAGTTCAGTTTTATTACTGCTAAAACAGTATTGTGAAATAACGATTGTGACTTATTGATTCTCCTAAATCTGGTACTAGATCATTTAAGGTGTTTGTTTGTTTGTTTCCCCTGTCTATTTAGGTTGGTGGAGAGTTTACAAACACTGTTATACACCAAATGAAAAAATTTGGAAAAATTGCGATATGTGGGTCCATTTCTACCTATGACCGTACTGACAACCTTCCCCCAGGTAAGGAATTCGTGCAGACGATCACAGGTAAAGGAAGACTGGACAAGGGGAAGGACCAGAGGTAGGAAATAGAACAGGGGCTATCAAAATATTACAAAGACTTCCTTATGAAATAATATTTATTGAAATAAAAATAATCTTATATATTTTGCACCAAATTAGCTTGCATAAGATTTCAATATTGAAAAATAGTAAAGTCCATAAGTATGGAAGAGACACATAATTTTTTGAAGTTTTAGGCTTTTACCTATTATTTTCTACAAAATTGAGATAAGATAGCCATGATTTGATTTGGAAACAGAGCACCTTGGTTCTTCAGATATTAGACCTATTTCTGGAGATGTGGGAAGGTTGGAGGGTCACTTGCTATGGTTGAAGGGAGCGGCAGGCTGCGTTGTCCTTCACAGTCTTGGGCGTTGTACTTCACCTCCTGGAACAGCAAGACACCTTGCCTGACCAGGCTGGCCATTTCCACTGAAAGAGAAAGGAGCATGCAATTCCTCCTTCATTCCTTGTTCTGTTTCTCCAGTGCCCTGGTGTACTCTACATCCCCACTTCCTCACACTCTTATGCCAAAGTCACTTTCTTCTCCCCCTTCACACTCCCAGAGATCCAGAAGCAGTGTCAACAGAGGGCCATATTCATCACTTCAAGCCCTATGACAGATATTGTACAGGTCTCATTTTATGGGTGGGAAGATGAATGGCTGAGACAACCAGACTCCTTAAATCCTATTAGCAACAACTCAAAACAAAGACCAGACTGCTGAGCTCCTCATGTAGACTCCTTTTATGTTACCCCAATTCTGTGCTCTTATTGAGGCTGCAGATTTACCTGGGTTCCCAAAAAGGAGAAAAAGAACAAAATGGAATCTTCAAGATTCAGGAAGTCATAAATCAGATGGTTACTTATTCTATGACAAGCTTAACTAAAGGGAATGAAATCTTATAGCTCACTAATTAACAACTCAAGTGCTCGGAGCAGAAGGGACTAAGGACAATTTGCAGATTCCTTTTGGGGGCATGAAGAAGCAAAGGCACTATCTTTTCCAGAAAGGAAACCCAGATTCACTTGATAATCTTTCTTATAAGAGCTTTTATTTCCCTCTATGTTTTTCCAATTTATGATAAGCTAGAATCATGGGAAATCATCTTCCCATCAACTGAGTGGACCTTCAGGTTATATTTCCTGAACCACAGTCCAATTAGGGACAGCCACATATTTTGGATGTAGTAACTTGATCTAGTGTTTGGAAGCTCAGCTGCACATTAGGACTTGGAGATGGCAGCTGTACTTGTCCATTCCATTTTAATCACATGGGATTCTGCCTTGCTTCTGATCCCCAGCAGTCCTAACATGTCCCCACTAGGAGGCAAGTAGTTATCCCTGCCAACTTTACTGCCACCTTTGCTTATTTGGTCTCAAAAAACAACCCAACATTCTCACCAGGATGGACAGCCCAGCAACAGTATGTCACTGTCCTCCAAGAAAATGAGGTTTCCAATTCTTAACTCAAAGAGAATAGAAAGGACATGGGCCTTCTGGAGAAGGATGCTTTCCCTGTGACCAGGCTAGCATTTGGCTGTGTTCCTTTTCAGACATCAGTTGCTGTTGGTTCAAGACAAATCTTCCAGACTGCTAATGCAGCTTTCATTAAAGTAGTCAGTGAGGATGTAGGCTGGGGCGATTCCAGTTATCCAGGAGCCCGAGGACGGATTCTACCAATTTGTCTTGGCTGGAAAGGCCTGGATATTTCCTAGACATGGTCTCTGGTCTTCTTAGAACTTGTAAGACTATGTTCAGTTATCATTCTCACAGTTTCTGGTCACTTAGCATGCTTGGGTAGATAAGCTAGGTAGCTAATACAACCTTTTGTTTCTCTCACAGAGCAGTCCCTCTTTTTTTGTTGTTGTTGTTATTATTGTGCCGGGTGGGGGTATATTGAGTATTTGCAGAAGTTCTTACAATGTATCAAATATATCATATTTGAATTCAGACCTTTAAGGCTATAGTTAGTTCTCTTTGTGGTCTTTCTAGGCTGGTGGCTTTCCAAGGCTGGGCCTAGAACCAGCGAGTGCCATTAGCATCTCCTGGATTGGTTAGAAATACAGATTATTGAGAACAACTCCCCTGATTTCTCATTGTGGATTATTTCTCATTCACAGTGAGAAATCAGGGGAAGGATTCAGCAATTCTTTTCACAAGTCTCCACCTGATTCTCATACACGCTACATTTGAGAATTACAATCAGGTTTGCTCTTGGCACCTGAAATGGTGAGGGCAGGGGCACATGTGGCAATTGTTGAGTCTTTTGATCTATTGTGTCTTAGTGGCACTTAGACTTGGGAGTGAACACTGGCTTTACATCACTTAGAACATAATAAAATGGGTTTATAGCCCAGAATAAGTCATAAAGAGGAGCATCCTATATACTGAAAATATCAGGGCAGTCAAAAAAAAAAAACCCTCATTTGAGCAGTGCAGAATATTTTTCATATGTTGTTGCTGGGGTCTCTGTCTGCTCCATGGAGGAGGTTTTTGGTGGACTTTGCTTCCAGCATGTGAGAGATGACTGTTCCTTGACGGCCTGGTCTGTGCAAGGCCTCCTGATGTGCATTAGTTTCCTACTGCTGCTGTAACAAATGACCAGCTTAGTGCTGAAAACAGCACAAATTTACTCTTATAGTTCTGGGGGTCAGTGGTCTAAAATGGGCAGCATTTAGACTGGACCGTGTTCTTCTTGAAGCTCTAGAGGAGAATATGTTCTTTGCCTTTTCAGAATCCAAAGTCTGACACATTCCTTGGCATGTGGCCTCTCTTCCTCCATCTTCCAAGCCAGCAACATAGGATTTTGCTTCTTTTCCTCCTCCTCCTCATTTCTGCCATCCCTGATTCCATCATTGCTTATTTTTTTCCTGACCTTCTTGAATCTTTCTTTTCCCTTACAAGAAAGCTTGTGATTGTATTGAGGCCACCTGTATCTAACATTGCCATCTCCCATCTCAAGATTCCTATGAAATCACAAGTGCAAAATATTTTTGCCTCATAATATAACATATTCATAGGTTCTGGATGTGGAGGTCTGTCTTCAGGGCCATTATTCCTACCGCAAAGTGGATGGTGATAGCTGGCCCCATGGATCAGAAAAGAGTGGGGGAAAGGAAAGGGGTAAGCAATTGGGAGAACAGTGACAGTGACTTGCTCTCACCATGGACACCTCAGTAGATCCTGTCATTCAAATGCACCCTGGTCTTTCAGGCCCATCCTCAGAGGCTGTTATCACTCTACAAACTCGCACAGATGGATTCAATTACACCCGCAGGCAAGGAGAGGATCGCCAGAAGGCTCTGAAAGATTTGATGACTTGGGTGTTAGCGGTAAGGGGCTCCAGAGCCACATCTTCCATTGTACTCCAGATCTCATTGACTTTCAACACTCAGGACCATCATCCACTAACTCTTCTCTCTCTTTTGCAGTCTCATCATTTTATCCATTTACTGGGTCATTGCTTTGTAGATACAAACATTCTTATTCTTCTCATCTTAAAAAGGAAAACAAAAAACACTCTAAATTTCTTTTTTTTTTGGGGGGGGTGGAATGTGGGTATAGGAGGTATAGCCCAGGTGGCCTCAAACTCACCATCCTCCTGCCTCAGCCTCTGGGGAGTGCTGGGATTACAGACATGCACCCCTTACCTGGCTCCTTTAATTTTCATTTCCACTCAAATTCAAATGCATTTCACTCTTTCCTCATACATTATATGTATATAAATATATTTGTATATATACATATATATACACAAATATATATATATATATGTATATACAAAAAAAACCCCAAATACTTGGAAGGTCCATGTCTGTGCATGCAGTTCCTCTCTTCCCATTGTTTCTTGAACCCACGTATCAGGTTTTGTACTGCTGATATTGCACCAAAATCGCTTTTATCAAGGTCAGTAATACCTCTCACAGTGGGGTATCCAGTAGTTGAGTCTTCACATCTCTTGGCTGAGGGGAAGTGCTTGACAGTGATCACATTCTTGGTGTACTTTCTCCCCTTGGCATTCCTTTAGCTCTTGGTCTTCCTCTCCGGTTAATCCTCCTCAGGTCCCCTTCCAGCTTCTTTCCTAATTAGTGATGGAATGCCCTGGGCCTGATCACTGGGCTCTTTTCTTCTCTATCCACACTTTTATCTATGCTTTGCTTAACTTTTCTAGGCTCACACACTCACAGTCTTCAGTACACAGACAGCTCCTGCATTTCTTTCTCCAGCCTGGACCTCTCCCTTGAACACCTGACTGGTGCATTCAGCTGGTCAACAGCTGCACCTGGATGCCTAACACATGTCCTCAACTTGGCATGTCAGAAACAAATTATGTTTCAATCTTTCCCGCCAAACCTGGTGCATATGTAGTCTTCACTATCTCAGCTATGACAGTTTTTCACTGCTAACTGCTCAGTACAAAAGCCTGAAATCCTTAATTTCTTTCTTTCTCTTACATCAGTGCTACATATGTCAGTAGACTCTGGTGTCTCCATGTCAAAATACATACAGAATCTTCAAAATATGTACCCATTCTTCAACCTCCTATGCTACCACCCCAGTCCAGGCTACCACCCTGTGTAGCCTGGATGTTTGTAGTAACTTCCATTTGGTCTGACACTTTTACTTTTTCTACACACATTTCCCAACACAGAAGCAGTGTGATCTTTTAAAGCATACACCAAATTGTCATTCTTATATTCCAAACTCTGCAAGGCCCCTCTTACACTGGGAAGAAGTCTAAATGCTCATAGTAACCTACAAGGCTGAACATGATCTGCCTCCTGCTTCCTCTCTGATTCCATTTCTTAGTGCTCATTCACCCCTGGCTGACTCTGCCATTGCCCTGGCCCACCTTCTGAAACTGCTTCCTTAATTCTCACACCTTCTTCAAGTCTTTGCTAAAAAATAAAATGCCTTGTGGATGAGATAATGTTTTTACTTTAGGCTTTGAACCCTGGGCCTTGCACATGCTAGGCAAGTGCTGTACCATTGTCCTACATCTCCAGCCCCGAATGAGACAACTCTCAAAATTTTAATTGACATATAATAATCATATCTTTGTGAAGTAGAATCTAATATAGCAGTACACATATACAATGTGTAATTGTTCCATCAGGGTGATTGGGATGTCCAACACCTCAAATATTCATCATTTCTTTGGTTGGTACATTCATATTGTTTTTGAATACTGTTTTGAAATATACAATTAATTGTAGTCATATTAATTATTATGACATAGAACGTGAGAATGAATGACCTTATTTTAAGCTGCAATCTCCCTTTATGACTGATCTTCCTTATCTTTTTTCCACAGCAATTAAAGTATTTTAATATATAATTCACTTACTCATTTTTATGTATTGCCCATTTCCCTTCCATGAAAGTATAACCTCCATGAGGACAGCAGTGTTCATGCGTTTGATTTTCTGGTGTACTCCCAGGACCCAAAATAGTGTCTGAGTCAATGTAGGCACCAAAGGAGCTGGGAATGTAGCTTGTGGTTGAGCACATGCTTAGCATGGGTGAGGTCCTGGGTTCAAACCTCCCCTCCATCCCCCAAATTGGAGGCACTAGATAAAAACTGTTGAATGAATAAATGTTAGTAGGGCATAAAAATGGATCAAGGTTCTCCCAGTTGCTACACTGGAAAAAAACTTATTTATAGCCATACCTTTTGTTTTTTTTTTGTTTTGTTTTGTTTTGTTTTCATTTTTCTTTTATTATTCATATGTGCATACAAGGCTTGGTTCATTTCTCCCCCCTGCCCCCACCCCCTCCCTTACCACCCCCTCCACCCCCTCCCGCTCCCCCCCCTCAATACCCAGCAGAAACTATTTTGCCCTTATCTCTAATTTTGTTGTAGAGAGAGTATAAGCAATAATAGGAAGGAACAAGGGGTTTTGCTGGTTGAGATAAGGATAGCTATACAGGGCATTGACTCGCATTGATTTCCTGTGCGTGGGTGTTACCTTCTAGGTTAATTCTTTTTGATCTAACCTTTTCTCTAGTTCCTGTCCCCTTTTCCTATTGGCCTCAGTTGCTTTAAGGTATCTGCTTTAGTTTCTCTGCGTTAAGGGCAACAAATGCTAGCTAGTTTTTTAGGTGTCTTACCTATCCTCACCCCTCCCTTGTGTGCTCTCGCTTTTATCATGTGCTCATAGTCCAATCCCCTTGTTGTGTTTGCCCTTGATCTAATGTCCACATATGAGGGAGAACATACGATTTTTGGTCTTTTGGGCCAGGCTAACCTCACTCAGAATGATGTTCTCCAATTCCATCCATTTACCAGCGAATGATAACATTTCGTTCTTCTTCATGGCTGCATAAAATTCCATTGTGTATAGATACCACATTTTCTTAATCCATTCGTCAGTGCTGGGGCATCTTGGCTGTTTCCATAACTTGGCTATTGTGAATAGTGCCGCAATAAACATGGGTGTGCAGGTGCCTCTGGAGTAACAGTCTTTTGGGTATATCCCCAAGAGTGGTATTGCTGGATCAAATGGTAGATCGATGTCCAGCTTTTTAAGTAGCCTCCAAATTTTTTTCCAGAGTGGTTGTACTAGTCTACATTCCCACCAACAGTGTAAGAGGGTTCCTTTTTCCCCACATCCTTGCCAACACCTGTTGTTGTTGGTGTTGCTAATGATGTATAGCCATACCTTTTGGATCCAGAGGAAGAAGCTAGACCCTTGTCCTGTACTGTGACCATTTTTCCATCTTACCATGTGGAATTTTAGTTAAAGAATCTGAAGAATGGCAGTGCATTCTTTTAATTTTAAAAGTGATACAGTGCTTCCTAATTCCTGGCCTGTGGTCATCTCCCAATTCCAAGCCATAGACTGCTCCTCTGGTAGCTGCTGGAGCGTGGTCATCTTCCCAGTGTAACACTTGGAGTCTGCTGGGCTCTCTCTAGACAGCTGGAAAGAGCAGAACTGGTTTTTAAGTTCCCAGGGTGTAGCCTCTTTGTCCTTACTGGTGAAATTAAATCCAGCCCCTCCACAATCACAGCTGAAACAAGATATTACTGTGTCAATGTCCCTGAAGCTTCCTATTTGCAAAGTGATGCTAAGTTGGCCTTTTTTCTCCTAATCATTTTTGGTTTTTTCTTATATCCCTCCCGCTCAATGTTGGGGATTTGAACCCAAAGGCCTGGGAAATGCTAAGCAAGCACTCTACCACTGAGCTACACCTCTACCCATTTTTAAAAAATATCCTTTTTATTTAAGAACACTTTTAGATTTATAGGAAAATTGAGAAGATGGTACAGAGAACTCCCATATACCAGCATCCTATACCTTAATTCCCCTATTATTAACAATTACATTAGCATTTTTATTAACTTTTTGGGCTACCGTAACAAAATACTTTAGACAGGATGGCTTAAACAACCAAAACTGATTTTCTCATAGATCTGTAGGCTGGAAGTCCAAGATCAGGGTGTCAGCAGGATTGTTCCTTCTGAGGCTTTTTCCTGCATCTTCTCATAGTCATTGTGTGTGGGTCTATGTCTTAATCTCTTATTAGAACACCAGTCTGTTGGATAAGGACCTTCCCTTCTGACCTCATTGTATCTTACTTAACTCTTAAGGCCCAGTCTCCAGGTACAGTCACATGCTGAGGTACAGGGGCTTAGACTTCAACACAGGGATGTGGGTAATACTGGAGAACAGGTCATTCAGTCCACAACAGCATTGATTCTCTATTTTTAATCTTTGCTGTGAATTTGGGTAGTGGGAGAGACACATTTAGTTCTTAAGAGTATTCATTCTGTACCTTTAACCATGAAGCTGTATTCTAGCTTTCCATCTCTATGCAGGCTCTCTGCCCTTTTCCAGAGCAGGAATGAACTGTGCTTTGTAGTCAAGGGTTCAATCTCAGCTTCCCTCCTTTAGGAGTGGATTCAAGCCAGTGATTTTGTCCATAAATCTGTAGAGGTCCTCAGCCATTACCGGGATACATTATGAAGGAACGGTATCAGGTAACTCAGGTCTCTACATAAGACTCTTTAAAAAACACTGGAAAATGAAAATTAGTCGCACTCAGTAGATCTTGTCATAGAAAGGACAATAAAAAACCTTTCTCACTGACATGAACCCTTCCCTTCTACACTTCTAAATAAATGTTAAACAAGTCTTCAAAGAACATTAGCTTGAAAGGGAGACAAATTACTAGACTGCCAAGGTGTTTCCATTTCCTGACTAGGCCCTGCCTCTTCAAGGCCAAAGACAGTCAATGATTCTGCATCTTCTGGTACCAGAAGTGAGGAAGGCAGGTGCATCTGGCAGGGCAGCTCCTTTCTTCATCCACTTCTACTTCTTCTGAGATCATTGTGTTATTAAACTTGCCTACACAATTTTCTTGGTTTTTTCGTAGGCAAAAACCAAGAAGTGACATAATTTAGTTAGAAATTGCTTAATTATAGCCTGTGACATTTCCCCTGCTGTTACCCTGTGATCTGATACCTACTATTGCATTCTTCTTTGAGTTTTGTAATCTTCTGTATACACCGTGATGAGAATCCTGCCCACATATTGACTTTTGAGTTATTGTTCAGATAGGGTATAGAGTTTTTGCTTTGAGTCAGCCTCTGACTGAGATCTTCCTGACAGTGCTCCCAAATAGCTAGGACTGTAGGTGTGCAATACCTTATCCAGCATCCAAATGACTTTAAGTACAGAAAATAGGCTTCCATCTCATACTTTCAAGGTTCCTGTGATGTCCCTGGTAAACCTGCTTCTAGGAGGAGGAAAGAATATGTTTTTCCAAATATAAAATCAACTTCCTATATTTGTTGTTGTTTTGGTACAGGGTAAAATCCAGTATCACGAACATGTCACTGAAGGATTTGAAAACATGCCAGCAGCATTTATGGGAATGCTGAAAGGAGAAAATCTGGGGAAGGCAATAGTGAAAGCATGAGAAAAATGACACCTGGAATCCTCATTGGATGTTCATCTCCTTTTCTCCTGCTTGCTCTAAATGTATACTGCCTTAATTATCTAAGAATTAGTCACTGTAATGAGTTTAATCTACCCAAAAAACACATGTAAGTGGTTTGTAATTAGTGACAGAGCATGAAAATTAACTGATGAACACCACCACTCACCCTGCTACCCACTACAGCTCCTCCTGGGGTAGCGTAAAAAACAATGGTTTGGGGTCCCAAGTTCTACTGTGGATTTCAGATTTTTCCTCTGTAGAGTGAGAATAAGGGTTAGCTCACTCCCTGCAGAAATCAGTGCATTTGAAGTCATAAGATCTCCACCCCTGTTGCTTATGATGACACCAGAACCACAGCTGATGTACAGTGGTCTGTGGACCAGCCACAATGGTGGTGTGCACATGTCTGTTAATAATATAACAGACCAAGGAAGGAATCTGCCCTTCACAGCAGCTGCAAAGAATATGATAATACCTGATACTATAAAAATATGCAGAATCTAAAGCTTGAAAAAATTTTGAGTATTGCAAAAGATTTAAACATATAGAAATGCACAATGTAGTAAAAAAAGGTGAGGAGGGGATAAGACTAATAGAAGGGGTGAATTTGATCAAGAACATTATATGAATGTATGGAAATGACACCCTTTGGTACCATTAACATATGCTAATAAATAATAGAAAAATAGAATAAAATTTGGAAAAAGAAATAAGGCTACCATGCTCTGGACCAGGATGATTCAGTATCAGAAAACTGTCAATTTTGTTGATCGATTCTGTCATCATAGAAGGGTTAAATAAAACTGTAGTACAATGAAACAGTTGGCCAAAAGGTGTGCTTAGAAAAAAGCTCTGGAAAGATGTCATGAACTACTAACGTGGCTTGTCTTCAAGGAAGAGAACTGGAGAGCACCAGGACAGGGATAAGAGGAAAACTTTCTACTGTGTAACCTTTTTTATTGTTTGAATTCTGAGCCTCATCAATAAATTTACTCACAAATACAGTTAAAACATAAAAGTCTCTTTTTTTGTGTTCAATCCTATAGACAGATGGGAGGGAACATGGTGCCTGCCTTTTGGGGATGAGGTTGAAAAGCTTCTGTAGCATAGAGCAGGGTGAGGAGATCATGCAGGGAGGCTGGGTGTCTGGAATGAGGAGTCAGAGTGGGCACAGAAGGGGCTGAGTTGTACGTTGTTGCCTGGTGATGGGAGTTGGAGCTCAAGCAAAATCAATATGACTTCTAAGTTCAGTAGGGGTTCTCAACATGGCATATCAAAGGCCAAGAAGGGTGAAGAAGCCATCGATGTAGGTGGAGGAGGGAGCTCCTGGCCTGATGAAGTGTGTCAGAGTCCAACCAGGGTGAAGAGGGCTTTGGAGCAGGAAGAGTGACTGGATGACTCCAAGCACAGTGAGGAGGGCATCATGCCTGATACACTCTGGCTCTAGGTGTAAGAGCTCAGAGCAGAGTAAACAGGGTGTCCAGCCCGGGAGGTAAGTGATCCCAAGCATGGTGAGGACACCCCCACCATGACCCTCAATAACCTGGTACAGGCAGTTGGATCCCCAAGCAGTTTGAAGACTCACACATGGATTAGCCTGGTGTGGAGGTCAGAGCCTGAGTGGAGCTTTTGTGTGGCAGCGAGGCCAGCACGACCCAAAGGAAACATTGGCCTTGAGAAGCAAGGGTGGTGGCCAAGTGCAAGATGTCAGAGCTGGAGTGGAAGGAAGGAACATCTGCACAAGAGGGAGTGATGGTGATGGGAGATGGTTACAAATAGATGGTTACATATTTGACCAAAGGAAGGGGATGGAAGCCAGAGGTTCTTATTGTCAGACAAGGGAGTTACAAATATGGGAAGAATCTTGTGGTATTAGGCTGGAATCAGAGGTATTGGTGTAAAATCGTGAATTCTGATACATTATGAGACAAAATTAGATTTATTATATATGTACATACTATATACATACATATAAGTATAATGTACACATATATTTCCTAATTCTGTCTACTAAACGAGCCTAGTAGTGACCTCTCAATAGCAACGAGACCCCAAAATACCAGAATGTGGCATACAAATATTTTTCTAAAAGGAACTAGAGCTCCTTGGAGAAATGGCTTTTTGAAGTCTGAGGGAGGATACAAGATGAACCTGGAATGGCTTATCCCAGAAAGTGAGGAAGTATTGAAATCATGTCAAAAGAATACAGAAACCAGGCTGGTGGAACGGTCTGCCTAGTAGGTGTAAGACCTTGAGTTCAAACCCCGTATATATATATATATATATATATATATATATATATATATAGAGAGAGAGAGAGAGAGAGAGAGAGAGAGGAGAGAGAGAGAGAGAGTGCACCAGTTTGTTTGGGCTCCCACTAGACAAATCCTGAAAATTCTGAGCTCCAATATAGACAAAGCGTCATCTGCTGAGGGTGGAAGCGAAATCCAAAGATTTAGGACATGGAGGCACCAGGTTCTATTGAAGTGAGGAAGTAATCAGGGGCTAAAAACAGAGTGCTTGAAAATATACATCAAGCAAGAGCAGTTGGAGCCTCCTACCTTGTTGGTCCGGTAATAATCACTCCCCCAACAGGAAAGGAGAGGTATTACCTTCCACTAAATGGAACTTAAGGGCTATTAACTTGGGGACCCCAAGCCTGGAGAATGTAAATGAGTTGTGAGACTAAAAATAGAAAATTAAGTGGAAGCCTGTGTAACAAGAAGAAACTAAAATCCTATCTTGCCATACGGCTTTCTTCTGCCTGCTCCAGAAAAATGGTGGCCAGGCTTGTATGTCCCAGGATGATTAGGAGATTCTGTCTGAACAAACTACAGATCCTGCTGAAGAAATTACAAGGAAGATTAACATGTACTGACACTTGGGGTCTCAAAAGCAAAACCTAGGTGAGACACAAGCTTCTGATTGTGAGACCCTGAACTTTTGAGGTGGAAAAACTGATAAAGTCAGACCATTAACTATCCTCTTAGGGAGAAAATGTATATTTTTTTTATTGGGAAGAACAAAAGGGTCTGTTGATTAAGAGAGACTGATAGAAACAATCTATGTGCTCAAGACAATAAGCATAAGACCACTTCCCAGCCTCCCCTGCAATTAAATTAGGACCATGTGACTGATTTCTAGCCAATGGGAAGAAAGAAGTGGTTTCTAAGCTGGAGGTTCCCATACTTTCTTGGTTACAGCATCCTCATTTTTCCACTGTCCCTAGGCCATGAGCAACACCTACCAGTTCCATTTACTAGTTACTTCCAAACAACATAGTAGTAATTTGTGCTGTTTCTAATAGTTGTATCAGGGCTAGATGCCTAGGAAGCCTATGTTTTCTCTGAAGTACCCTAGGACACCTTGGCACCCAGTTGTGACACATGGCTCTAAGTTTTTCTAAACCAATATTTAAAAACGTACAATACTTTCTCCCTTTCCCTGCCTCTCACACCTAGGAGGTATGTGTTCCAGGTAGCATGTCTAGAAAATGTTGAACAGCAACAAAACGTTCAAAGTCTGCCTGGGAAGTAAACTTTTACTGAGTTAAGCTACCATGACTAGTTGGCTTTTCTGTGGTTACCATTGCTTTCTCTAACTTTGTACTGTCTAATATGGTAGCCGCTTGAGGCTGAGAATTGGAAATGCAAATAATGCCATATTTCAAAAATTTAAAAACTGAAGCAAAGTGAAGTACTTTTTAAATTAAACACCACTTTATTGTTTTAATAGAACTACAAATCACTTTAACCACTTTGTCGCATAGGACATTGTTGTATTATACTGCCTGTACAGGAATGTGCATTTTTAGTATACCACTTCAACACATCACCAATTTAATACCAATGGGCTGATAAAGTTCAGATGACTTCTCTATGCACAGATGGAATATCACGATGGGCTTACTTGGATATTTTATGCAGATAGCACAAGTTAGAGTATACCTATGCAGACACAGTGTTACATATGTAAACCATAAGTTAATTTACTATTTTGATTACAATTACTTTCTAGGTAAAAACAGGAAAATATTTAAATTTGAATCAAAGGCATAATACTGAGGCAGAGTTCAGTGCAGATACAGAAGCTTGTACCACAGCTGGTACAGAAGAGGGAAAAGGGACTGGCAGAAGATAATGCACATTCAAGAAACGGCAAGTGCAATTTACAGCAGCAGCAGAACAAAGCAGCTGTTTGTTCAATTCAAGTGTTAAAGATAATACAGTTGACAATACTTGGGACAATATTTCAGATCTATGTGATTTTTCCAATAACTTAGTCAAAAGAATCCACAAAATTCACCAAATGAAATGAGAATTACGTTTTTAACAAAAACAATTCAAAAATTTTAAACCGGATCTGAGTTTGTAAACTAGGCCAGCTATAAAACAGCTTGATCCCTGCACATGCACTCAAACACAAAACAACCCTAGATGGAAAGATAAAAAGAAATTATTCTAGGTGTCATAATTTACTTAAAAACTGTGAAAAGACATTTTTAAAAACAGCCACAAAAACTGAAATTTTCAATTATAGCACTAAAACAATTTTGCTCATAGAATATAAACAAGCAAATTACATTTTCTCATAGAATATATATATTTTTCCTATTATCAAAGATCAATTGATTCAAAATTTGAAAATTTTCAAGTATTTTTCTTAGCTTTAGATGAATTGTGTGATGTAAGACACTGCCCAAGGAAAACTTGGGGCATATTCTGTCTCAAAGAAGATCCAAATTTATAAAGAAATGCCAATTCATTGCCTAAAATCTCAAATTCCTGATATGTTTTGAAAATTTTTCATCTGTCAAGAAATTTTAGCTAGAAAGATGTTTCCCATCATGAAGATAGGAATTCTAGCTATGTTAAGCCAAAAGACCAGTTGTATCAGAATTTTAAAGCAATAATTTTTTCTCATTGCTTTTTTCCAGTGTATGATTCACACTGAGAATATTCTTGTTTTCTGAAGCAGACTCCAAGAAGAGTCGTGGACATAGATGGTAAAATTCTTCAATACAATGTGCAAGTCATTACCAGTTATGGAAGCAATGAAGCAGAAGAGAATGTATGTGATGATCTGTGTTCTTTACCAATGTTATCTGGATGACTTACAGAAGAGTTGAAGACTTCATGTACTAGAAAATCCAATTCAAGATTTCTTTCAAACAAAAGTAAGTGAAACAAGCCAGACACACACACACACACACACACACACACACAGCCCCAAAAATGTGAGTTACAAAGACCAAATTTGTAGAGAAAGAATGGTTGTTACCAGGAGCTGGGGAGGGGAGAGACTAGGAAATTATGTTTTAACAAATAGGGTTTCACTTTAGGTGATGGAAATTCTGGAGACAGACAGTGATGACTGTACAACCATGGATGAATTTAATACTGAACTGTACAACCCCAAAAGGGTTAAGATGGTTACTTCTATGTTATGTATATTTTACATTAAAAATAATTCTTAAATAAGCGAAATAAATAAAAGTGAATTCACTGACAGAAACCTTGTCTTATGACCGAAAGAAATTTGGCAATGATGTAAAGAAACAGAAACCTCATACACTAGTCAGAATGCAAAATGAGGTAATCACTTTGGAAAACAATTTAGCAGTTTTCTAAAATGTTAATCCAAAATTTACCACATTACCCAGCAGTTCCACTCACAGACTTCTAAGAAAAATGAAGGCAAATGTCTACATAGACTTACATATTAATGTTCACAGCATTAGTCGTAACACCAAAAACCTGGGATGGAGAAACTCCAAATGTGCCTTCACTGGTAAGTGGACAAAGTATCCATATGATGAAATACTATTTAACACTAAGAATATAATAAATAAAAAATAGAATCTTAGCAGTAAGTATGTGGTATGCTAACACACAGATAAACTTAAAAACCATGTTAATGAAAAAGACACAAAAGATCCCACTAATATAAAATAGCCAGAAAAGGGAACTCTAAAGCTAGGAAGTAAATTAGTAGTTGCCTAGGCGTACAGAAGGGAAAGGGATTGAGTGTAAGTGGATATAAGGATATCCATTAGGTATCTTTTGTTAGGGTGAGGGTTGCACAAATGATTAAGTTTACTAAAACTTACTGAACTACATGCTGGAAATGGTTTTTAATAATCTGTAATTTATATTTCAATAAAGTTATAAAATTTGTGTTTTGGATTCTCTACAGATATTAGAGTAAAACACTCTCTTATGAAAGTTAGGAAGCCTAACCAATACTTTCTTCTCAAGAGAATACTTTTATATATCTCCTAATTCTTTCTATAAATTATATCTTTTCATGGAAATCTTCTACTCATGGCTAGAATGTGTTTGGTTAGCCCACTCAGCAATGACAAATGTAAACTCTGCACATTAATTTCATAACACAGTTATATTTGAACTTCAGGCTTTGGGGAGAGTGGGGAGGGAGCACTAGGAAGAAACCAAAAGCCTTACACCCAGAGGTAGCATTTCAAACCAAAGCACATTAAACTACAGCAAGTGTTCTGAGTCTCAGATCAGTATTAAGGATCTCTTCACTTCCATAAGTCCAGAATATCTGGATTCTTTTTATAGGAGCAGTCTCAAATTTCAACTTTTGGAACTTCTGTGTCACTGTTGAGTCAGCGGTGCTCCTCTGAACCCCAATGACTTGAGTTCCCAAACTAACTCATTTAGGGTCTTTAGTTCCTTTTTCAGTTAGAAATTACTCAGACTCCATCAGTTACATTTTAAAGAAATATTTACTGATACCTGTATATTCCATTCCTTCAACATCTAATTCCACACCAGAAAATATAACTGAAAGTTTCTTCTCTATCAATTCTTTTCTGATTTTTACTTGTTATCAATGGGGTCCCTTTAAATTTTAGTGTGTATATTCTTCAAGTGATTAGGGATCAAACTATATTCCTGCAGTGCAAAAGTTAGGTTATATACAAGAACTTGATATGTAGGAGAATAGATTATCCCTCAAAGGGTGGCAGCTACCACTCAGGACCAGCTGAGTGTACCACAGAAGTGAGAGCCTGGCATTGTCAGCCCTTATTAATTTTTTTTGGTGGCACTGGTGATTGAACTCAGGGTCTCATGCTTGCTAGGCAAGCGCTCTACCACTTGAGCCACACCTCCAGTCAAGCCCTTATAGTTTTTTTAAGGTAAGTCTTGTGATTTAAAAAAGCCATTAAATTCCCTAATTTTTAAATAGTGCCAACTAAGTGTACACTTCATACCATCACCACCATCAGGTAGACTAAGGGCCCAATCCGACCCAATCTAACAGCTGTGACCTTTGTTATACAGAATGCTTACTCTGCAATTGCAGGATATGTTACAGGTGAAAAAAAAATCAAATATAATTCTATTTTACAAAAGAAAACCCATCCAGAACAGCCGTTTTCAGCATGTTTCTATTTCCTAGTATTGTTACTCTCATGTCTGAGGTGGTTCAAGTATAAGTGCTCTAGATTCCCAATCCCCTGAGCCAATACCCACCCAAAACAAAAAGAGAATGAAGTGCTTTGTCCAATAAGAACATTCCCTGAAGGCAAACTTGTTTCCCTGACAAGTTCCTATTTGTCACATTCTTGGGATTCCTGCATCAAGTACTCAAAAAGTATATCATATTCTCACTAAGCTTAAGTCCAGTCAGTATCCTGTAAGGAGTAGTTTTCTACTAGACAAGAAAATTCCAATGAATCAAAAATGTTTAACTTACTCCTACAGTATCAGAGATACAAAAGAAAACTCAGAAATCATTAGTCCCATCTCTTCATTCTACTTGTAAAGAAACAAATTCTGAAGGGTCAAGTGATTTCTGCAAGATGAGTTGGCTGGCAAACTGGGAAGGAACCCAGATTATCTTAGTCAAGTTCTCTTTCCATCCTGCTGGAGGAAGAGTAAGCAGAGAGGGAAATCCGTAAGTGCTTCATGAATTTGTTTGGGCCTTTTACAACCATGTCACTTCACAGTTTCTTCACTTTTCACGTGCTTTTACCAATTCTTATTACTATTTTCCAGCAGTTGACATCCTTGAAGAGAAGACAGATGAATGGGGAAAGGTATTTTTCCTAGCTGCCAACCCACGAAAATTTCAGCTACTAATCAATGTTGTGGTAGTTTGTAATTTTTTTTAAATTAGGACACAGTTTGGACTAAGTTCCCCTTCCCCGTTTACTGTTTTCTGAGAATTACTCTGTGGTGTGAAATAACCGATGTCTTAGAAGGCCTGAATTACTTTTAAATATCTTATCACATTTATTGCACTCATATTCTCTACTTCTTGTGTGAATTTTGACGTGCTCTACAAGGATTGAGCTTCGACTGAAGGTTGCCCCACAAAAGTCACATTCATACGGCTTCTCTCCAGTATGAACGCGGTGATGTTCATTGAGAGAGGAACTCTGACTGAAGGATTTCCCACATTCTTTACATTTGTAAGGTTTTACACCAGTATGGATTCTTTGATGACGACTGAGGAGAGAATGGGTGGGGAAGGCTTTCTCACATTGGTTACATTTGTAAGGCTTTTCTCCTGAATGAAGTCTTTGATGATAAATGACAGATGTAAAATGGCTGAAAGTCAGTCCACAATCAATACACAAATATGGTTTTTCTCCAGTGTGAATTCTCTGATGTCGGGTAAGACAAGAGTTCTGTCTAAAGGCTTTTCCACATTCATCACATTTATAGGGCTTCTCTCCAGTATGAATTCTCTGATGTTTGGAAAGGGAAGAGCTATGACTGAAGGATTTCCCACAATCGGTACACTTAAATGGTTTTTCTCCAGTATGAATTCGCTGATGTTGATAAAGAGATGAACTGTCACTGAAGGGTCTCCCACAATGTTTACATTTAAAGGGTTTTTCTCCAGTATGAATTCTTTGATGTTTAATGAGATGGGCAGTCAGGGCAAAACGTTTTCCACACTCATCACACTTGTGAAGCTTTTCTTCATCATGATGTGAACTACCACCCAAAGCTTTTCCACACTCATCACACATGTAGGATTTGTCTCCATTGTGAATTTTATGTTTGGTGAGTGAGGCAGTATACTTAAAGGCTTTTCCACATTTACTACACTTACGAGTTTTTTCTCCAGTCTTAGGTCCCTTCTCTTTATTTAAGGTTGTATCTTGACATAAATTCTTCCGACATTTTTCACACATAGAGGTTTTGTTCTTAGAATGAGACAAGCTTTGAGTAAAAGCTACCCCACACTTACTGCACTTCTGGGATTTATCCCCCAAATGAATTTTCTTATGTTCAGTATGAGAGGAAGACTGACTTAGTCCCTTCCCACCTTCACTATATTTCCTTGAATTTTCTGCAGTATGTTCTTTGTGGTTCAAGACAAGATCTGAATGAAAACTGAAGGGTTTCTTGCATTCATTATAACTCCGAGACTTCTTCCTTAACTGGGCTTTCAGATGTTTAATTGAATCAGAAGATCGTTTGAAACTCTTTCCAGAGAGGCTCTTTTCTGGGTCAAATTCTTCACCCTTACCGCCTTTCCTATGACTTTTCTTCTGTTTTTCTTTCGAATGTCTCCGTTTGCCTTGATCCTTCTCAGATCTGCCATGTTTTTTCTGGAATTCTGCCATCAACCCGTAACCATCATCCTTGAAGCATTTTTCTATTATTTGTTCTAAAGTGAATTCTTCCATGAAAACTTCCAACTGACCTCTAGGCTCACCCTCTAAAAAAAATAACAAATACAGTATTTCCTGTTTGCAATAAAGGAAGCTGCTGTTCTTAGGACTGAAATAGAAACACAAGAAGTAATGATTATAAGAAAGAGGGCTTGGATAATTCTCAATGAAGTTTTATAAAACAGGGAAGAGAAAGACAATATAAAAGTACAAGATGAACAGAGATTAGGAAAAAAGTTAAGGAAGATGAAAAGTTTGTGCTTTATAGTAAGAAAAGCAAATTCTCACCCTCATTTTAATTTCTGTAGTAGGCTTAACCTATTCTCCCTACGTCCAAACTTTCCTTATCATTTTGTTAAGTACAAAATAATAATATACTTAACATATGCAAGGTTCTACACCAAGTACTTTATTTACATTGTTCACTAAATCTTCACAGAAACCCAATGAAGCAAGATCCAATATTGTCCCAGTTTTATTAATGTCACAACTGGGCACATAGAGTGTAAATAGCTTGTCCAAGGTCACATATATTATAAGTGGTAAAATCAGATTTTAGCTTGACAGAAAGGCTCATGCTTTTGAACCCTTCTAATCATTGATCCTTGAAGCACATAGCACTAATTTTACAGAAAATGTTAACTACCTCATAGATATGTAGTACCATGTATATTAGACTTTCAAAGATTACTACAATGTGGTCCTCAACTCTAGGGACACTGATATCTATTTCCTGTCCTACCTACACTGTAGCACTTTCAGTCCTATTCTTCTGGTCATAAAACTTCCTACTGCCTAGAATGTAATCCCCAGCACCCTCACTGTCACAAACATATTTGACAGGCCCTAAGGTTCAAGTCCCACAATGTCATGGATCTTTTTCCAATACCATATTCTAATTGTGCTTTTCTTGAAAATTTGAATTCATCTATTAAACATTTTACTCATCATGGTTTTTAATCACAAGGTTACATTATGACTTTTACAACTGTTTTAAATGAATGAGTTATAAATAAAAAAATCACTTAAAATCCTATTACCCAGAAGTTATGTGAAATTTCTTCTAGACCTTTTTCTGTATAGCATGGAGTAGAAAAAAAAAGCGTATGTACTATTACATTTTTTCATTTATATTTATTTCCTATCTCATTGGTAATTCTTCATAAAATGATTTTAATCTGTTATATGGTAATCCATCACATAATATAGTTAAAGTATTTCTTTACTGAGTTGTCCATCAAATAACTAACATTTCTGGAGCTAGGGGTACAATTCAGTGGTAAAATGCAAGCTTAGTATGTACAAGGGTCTGGGTTCCATCCCTATCACCAAAAATAAATAAATGATTAGTATTTCCTTAGGAGCATTATAAAAACAGAATTACTGAACCAAAAGATAGAAAGGTTATACCTTTACACAATATCTAAGGAGTACAAACACCTGAATACTCATCTCGGATCCAATGATCTTTTTAAGTATTTGCATATTTGATTAATAATAGTATTGTTACTTTAAGTATATATTCTACTAATAAGCACTGAGTTCAAACTTTATGTTCACAAGCTACTTAAAACTGTTTAAATTTTGTCAGTTACCTGCTCAAGTTCTTTGCCCATTTTTCTAATGATACTTAGTGTACCTTACTGATCTGTATGAGTTTTTGAAAAATTATGGCTATTGACTCTGGTTTGTCTGTCAAAAACTTTTTTCTCCGATATGTTATAAATGACCTTTTTTGTGGGGAGTCAGGGGTGGGGAGAGGACTGGAGTTTAAACTCAGGGCTTCATGCTTGCAAAGCAGGCGCTCAATCACTTGAGCCACATCTCCAGTCCATGTTGCTTTGGTTATTTTTGGTGATGTGGCCTCAGGAACTATCTGCCCGGGCTGGTCTCATAGTCTCAAAGCTTCCCAAGTAGCTAGGGTAACAGGTGTAAGCCACCAGCACCAGCTATAAATGACTTTAAAAAAAAAACAAGGTGAGCGTCTCCATGATCAGCTTTCTTGACATAAGCATCTTGGGCAAGGGACATATTTCTATGCCAGTGCTACTGGAATTCTAAACAGTGTTAGAATCCATTTTTTAAATTACTCTAAAAATGTTGCTTAAACATAGTAAGACAAGTTAACTACATTAGAAACAGACAAGAGGTTGACCAAAGTGAATGTGTCAGAAGATGAAATAAAGAAAGATGAATTATTGATTTTTCTTTCTTTAAAACAAATGAAGGTAATGTTAAATTTTAAGAAGACACAGGAAACGAAAATCTAATCCTTCAAAGGTAACAAGTGTATAACAAGTTAACATGAGTGTTTTCCAGTTATTAAAAATCCCTATGTTTCACCTATATATTTAGACATATATCTCTCTCTATATATACATTTTCCCTTTAACAAAAATGGAATTATTAAACATGCTATTTAGTGGGTGAATTCCTACTTCTCCAAGATTCAATTAAAATGCCAATCAAGTCTCCACTCCTCCATACAGATGCTCCTTGTCTTATGGTGGAGTTAAGTCTATCCAAGTAAACTCATTGAAAGATGAAAGCATCCTAAGTGGAAAGTGTCTTGAATACACCTAACTTACTGACAATAACTGTTCAGCAACACACCCACTGAGAACATGGGTTCTGACTGTGTAGCTGAGTGGAAGCTGTGGCTCACTGCTGTTGCCCAACCTTATAAAAAGAGTACTGGACTGCACACTGCTAGCCATGGAAAAGACAGAAATTCAAAATTCAACAGTTTCACACCATTATAAAGTTTAAAAAAAAAAATCCTGCTGGGTGCCAGTGGCTCACACCTGTAGTCCTAGCTACTCACAGATCCGGGGGATTGCAGTTGGAAGCCAGCCCCCAGAAAATAGTTCAAGAGGTCCTATCTTGCCAGACACCACCCCCCAAGTCCCCCAGCAAATAGTTTGGCAGCTCCTATCTGGAAAAAAAAACCATCACAAAAAAGGCAGAGTGGCTCAAGCAGTAGAGCATCTGCCTGGCAAGTGTAACACATTTAGTTCAAATCCTAACATGTTCTGTTTGGATGATCTGTCTCTTTGGTGTCCATAAAAATGTGCCTCTCAGATTTCCTGTGGGAAGTTTGCCTGACAGCCCCTACTGCTATTGCTACAAAACTACCGCTGCATTCACAGCAAAGCCATGTTCCATGGGCTGCTCCCCATCGATGATGGAGCAGAGGGACACCTAGGACTCCTCTGAGACCCGGGACTCCTCTTACAGGTTACTCTAGTTCAAGGACTCTTTTATGGCCTAGGCTTAGACCTGCTCTTCAGTTTAAGATTCTTCCTCTCCAGCCATCCATCCTCCTCCCTCTCGTTCACAGAAGTTAGACCTGCATCATGCTGTGATGGCTGTCCCAGTTTGTTTCAGCTCCCTCCCCACTTTTCTTCAGTTGGAATTTTCCTCAGTAAATCTCTTGTATGATGAACTATATCTTGGCAACTATTCCTCAGAGGACCCAAACCAACAGTCTGTCCCATTAAAAAAAAAGAACTTTCCAAGAAGGCAAGGGCTCTCTTCTAATCAGTTCTGTATTTCAGCAGTGGGCCTGACCAATACTTCAAAGGTTCTTTTATAACTGACTTGGTAAACAACTGTTAACATTTCCTTATCTACTTTTAACCAACTCACCTGGTCTGGAACCTTTTGAGACTTCTTTTTGCAGCATCTTTGGTAACTTAACCCAGTTTAGCTGGGAAATCAAATCTAACTTGGAAACTGGAAAACCTGCTCACAGGGAAAAAGAATGGGAAAAACATTATTGATGCATGGAATAAAGATGTAGCAACATTTATACATAGCCTCTGGTTCTCCAGGGAAAATAAAAGAGGCCATTAGGTACATAGATAGCCATATTGGAATTTGAGGAGGAAATGGGGGAAGGTACAGTACTGATGTCAACAAAATGATATTCCACTTTTCCAATTTGATAAAACAAAGACCTTGTTTTAGAGAAAATATTGCAGAAAGTATGTTTTTCGTGTCCATTTTCAGGGTTAGATCAGACCCTGGATACCCAGCAAAGACAAAGTTAGTAGTAGTCAGTTAGTGACTCGAAACAAAACAAAGTGAAAGCATTTCACATAGCACTTATCTTTCAGTAACAGGGGACAAAAAGATATACCACTTAGACGGTAGATTATGAAGAGTTGATGTCTTTACCCAGAAATTCCAGGTTCCCCAAGTTTTCCAGTAGCACTTCCTTACACAGCTCCTTCTGAGAAGGCTCCAGCTTCTTCCACTCTCCTCTGGAAAGGTTCACAGCCACATCCTGGAATGTTAGAGATTCCTAGAACACAAACACAGTCTTTTTGCATTATATTATCTCCACCCAGACCTCAAGGATTCTGAGAAGTGGTTCAGATATAAAGTAATGATTTTGATAGTAGTCAAACTTTCAAGAATTCCAAGGCAAGCTACAGAGTAGCTAAATTATATGACTATTACAAGAGATACCTAACAACAGTATTTATAATCTCTCCTTCCCCTCAGAGTTCAGTGTTAAATGCTGAATAACAATTCTCTAGATTACCTAACATCGATCAAGTGAACCTTAACAACGTTGATTTCTAAAATTAAAAAGGAAATTAGAAACGAAGGGGATGATTTACATTCCTAACCCCACATTTGCAGAAATAATGCTAGCAACTGCACTCTAAATTTTAACTTGCAATTACATGCGACAATTTTTTATATAATCAAAGAGAATGTGTTCAGTAACATACTCACACTTCATTAAATTCGCTTTCTACAGCATCCTCTACATAACATTTTGAGAGGTAGTATAGCAGAGAGCCTATTAGCATGGATGAAATGCCATATAACAAATTACATGACCTTGGTAGCTTAAAACAATAGAAATAAACCCTCTCATAGTTTTGAGGCCACAAACTGGAAATCAAAGATTTGGCAATGTGCACTTCTTTGAGATACTCTGGAGCTGAATCTGTTCCTTGCCTCTTTCAGCTTCTGGTGGCTACCATCATTCCTTGGCTTGTGGCCCTGTCACTCCAAACTGCCTCCATCTTCACAACATCATCTCTTTATGTGTTCAATCTCCCTTTGCCCTTCTCTGATAAAGACACTTGGGATGGCACATAGGGCCTACTCATATAATCCAGGACCAATTCCTCATCTTAAAACCCTTAACTTAGTCACACCTGCAAAGATCTTTCTTCCAAATAAAGCAATGTTCACAAGTTCCAGGGATTAGGAAGCAGACATTTTTCTGAGTCATTATTGGCTTATATTACTCAGTATTATGAAAAGAAGTTTTTCCCCAACTGGTATTTTTATGTAAGAAACTTACTATCTGTAATCACATGCTTTTCCCAGCTATTACATGAGTGCTAGTACTTGTTGATTCTGAAGTTTTCTAAATAGATAATATTGTCTGCAAACCATATACATTCACACCGATACTTGTATCTCATTTCTTTCTTACCTTACTGGATCGGATATTCAGGAAATACTGATTAATAGCAGTGATTCCTTTTTTTACTGACATTGTGAGGACTGCTCTCTATTTTCCAACACTATCTAGGCTAGAGATCTTTACCATAATAAGGCAACCAATTGAGTAATTTTATCTACTGTTAAATTTTGTTTTTGTTTAGTGTCAGACTTGTAATAGTCTGTGAACTTGAATATGAACTATAAGTTCCTCATCTTAATTATTTTTGTATCTTTAGTAAGAGACCAGTTAAATGATCATCTAAGAATGAAATCTAGGGCTGGAGGCATGGCTGAAAGAGTAAAGCACCTGTCTAGCAAGCTTGAACCCTAAGTTTAAACCTCAGTACTGCCCCCCTCCCCAAACCAAAAAAAAAGGATGAAATAGAGTAAAAGGAAACTTACACATGACTCAGTGTTTGGAAGAGCAGCCACTATTTCATCATCTCCCGAATTCTCCTCTTTACAAACAGAATCTTGAGTAATCAGATCTAGGATGCGGGTAAGAAAGAGTCTGGTTTTTTAGAAGATTCTTCAGACTAAAAATCCTTAGTATGTTTCCAGATGTACTGGGGGTGGGGAAACAAGTCAGTTTCTCTTATTATACAACAAAGCTCTCCTGTGACCTCAGATATGTATGTGTGTGTGTGTGTGTGTGTCTGTGGAGGGAATCACAATTTTGCAGCATATTCTCCAGGGACACCAGCTTGGTGTTTTCTAACTCAATTTAATTCTGACACTATCCCCTTTGAGACATCAACAGTCCAGTAACACTATTCCTTAACTTCAGGTGCCAGTCTTGGCTTCTGGAATTTCTCACCAATTGCTACAAGAAAGAGTTTTCAGGGACCCTTCCTTGGGTTGGATTAATCTGCTGGAATGGCTCACAGAAGTCAGTGAAGCACGTTTGCCTGCATATTATAAAGCTTATTATAAAGTCTATAGATGAACAGTCAAATGGAAGAGAACCATAGGGCATATAGAGTTGCATATAGGAAGAGGCTCAGAGCTACTGAAATCAGCTAAGGTCCAGACACACCCGAACATAAATTCCTTCCATGCCCTCTTCAAGTGCACCACCCACAGGAACCTCATGTTCAGCTATATTCAGGAGGCTCTCCTGAACGCTGTCTTTCGAGTTTTTTTAAGGAGGCTTCATCATGTAGCAGGATTGATCATGTCAGCTCAATCTCTAGCCCCTCTTTCAAGCTGGGCCTTGGGGCTGTGAGTTCTAACTTCTTAGGCTGCAGGTTGGTTCCCATGGCAACTTCAGATCCCCATGCTGAGGTCACTTAGGGAGTTTCTAAAACACCCCTTATTAAAAAGCTTAAGTATGGTTTTAAGGGGTTTGTTATAACAGTAAGACTGTCTTTCACCTTGACAGTTCTAAAGCTGTAGGTTTCAGGAACTAAGAAGAAATGGGCAAATATTTTATTTTTTTTGTGGAACTGGGGGGTGGTTTGAACTCAGGGCTTCACACTTGTAAATAAGGCACTCTATCCCTTGAGCCACACCTCCAACCCATTTTGTTCTTATTATTTTGGAGGTGTCGAGAACTATTTGCTCAAGTTGGACTTGAACCACAATCCTCTCGGTCTCAGCCTCCCAAGTACCTAAGATTACAGGCCTAAGCCACCAATGCCTGGCAAGGGCAAATATTTTAATAAAAAATACTGATTATTCCAATCACTTGGGAAATTACAAGGGTTATAGCACCCGTGGGCCAGGAATGTGAATGAAACTCAAATATAGATTTCATAATATCACAATGTTGCTTGTCTTTCTGGAGAAAAAGGTAAGAAACAAAACTTTCCCCATTCTTTGAACAGAGAACAAGCACAGAGTTGGTCATTCACATCTGTAATCCTAGCTACTTGGGAGGCTAAGATCAGGAGGATCACAGTTTGAGGCCAGCCTGGGTAAACAGTAGTTCTAGAGACCCCATTTCCAAAATAACCAGACCAAAATGGACTGGAGGTGTGGCTCAAATATAGAGTGCCTACTTTACAAGTGTGAAGCACTGAGTTCAAACCCTAGTTCCACAAAAATAAATAAAAACAAAAAAAGAGAACAGAGATGGTGTCCTTTTAAAATCCCCAGTTTTTCCTACCTCATCAGAACATTCCTCCAATTCCTAAATTCACAAAAACTGAGTTCCTTCCTTCCATAAACCCTCAGCTTTAAAATACTTAATTTTCACAATAGTGAGTTTAAATATTTGTAAGATGTATTAAGGTAAAAGAGTATTTTCTTTTTATCTGTTAATTTACTTCTTTGCTCAAGTGTCATCCAAACTTGTTTACTGAGTGAAAGGACCAAGCTGACCTGAAGAACAACTCTGCCTCTGGGATCACCAGAGAGCCTACAGACTCAAGAGATCTGAACTCATAGGGGCTAACTGCATTAAACATACTTAGATGTCAACAGCTGTTTTTCAAATAAGGGGAAAGCAGTTTTTCAAATCATACTCTATCTCCTTAGGAAAATAATTTTAGGTAGTTTTATTGGTTAGACAATTGGTAAAAACTAAGAATTAGAATTATAGAATCAAAGATCTAAGAAGATTAATTTAAGGAAACTATTCTTCCTTACAGGAGTCTCCACACACAGGCCTTAATTTTGGAGAAGCACCATGCCAGAGTGATTGACAGTATTCTGAGTGCAGAGACTGACAGGGAAATAGTGTTCATTTCTATAGACTCAATTTGTGGTCACACAGCTAACTAGTGTGTCTAAAATGTGGGTCTTCTAACTCCTGCCTGATTTGTCTGTCACTGCAACATGTTATCTATCCAAAATTAGGGTCTCTAAGAGGAAGCTTTTACAGTACAGAATTGATAGGCAGCATTCTGTAAGACAGACCATTTTTCTTAAATGACTCCTCATTTTTGATTACATAATTCTAATTACATAAATTTTAGTTTTAAGACTCCTCCTTAGCAATAAATTGCTTCCTTTAAGGAGTTTACTTTCATACTTTGAAAATTCCCCCCACTTACTCCCTTTATCTGTAATTCTCACCTTCCTTTTCTTCAAGCATTTGGCTCAAATCCTCTATCAAGGTCACCACCTCCTCACTACTGTCAGGATGTTGTGACTTTACCCAAATCCTCATCTCCCCAGGCAAAACAGTCAGGAACTGCTCAAACACTAAGAGCTCTAAAATCTGTTCTTTCGTGTGAATGTCTGGTCTCAGCCACTGTATACAGCGCTCCCAAAGTTGGTTCAGGGCTTTCCTGGGTCCAACCTCTCCTGAGTAACAAAACCACCGGAACTTCTGCCTCAAAGACTCTATGTCAGCCATGGCTCCTCTTAAGAGAGCTTCTTGGTCCCCAGGAGTATGCACTCTTAGGACCTCGTTTTTTTCACTTAAGGCCAGAGTCGGAGGGTCTGGGGAGGTGGCTGTCATCTTGTTCAAGGGCACTGCAGCTTGTATTGTTTATTTTGTGCAGGAATCCAGTTCCTTTTAGACTATCTGAATCTCACTACAGTCCACCAACAGGCACTGTACACAGCGAAATATCAAAGGCTCCAGGGATCCAGTTTTCAGTCTTGCAGAAACTGTCAAGAAGAAATATAAAACATTAAAGAAATGAAACAAATTATTGCTAACCCTGAAAACACTGGTTTGGTTCATATATATATATTCACACACATACTCTCAGAAGATTTGAACAGCCCCACCCAACTATTCTGTTAAAAGGATAATTTGCTTAATGGGTCAAAAACCAAGGAGTTACTGGAAAGTAAAGATACTCTTCCAGGAAACAGTTACTTCAGACTTAATACTACTTTTTTTTTCTCCTTTATTCATATGTGCATACATTGTTTGGGCCATTTCTCCCCTCTCTCCCTCCCTCTCCTTCCCTTCTCTTCCTTCTCCTCTCCTCCCCCGCCCCCCTCACTTTCAGGCAGAATCTGTTCTGCCCTTATCTCTAATTTTGTTGAAGAGAGAGTATAAACAATAATAAGAAAGACAAAACATTTTTGCTAGTTGAGACAAGGATAGCTATACAGGGAGATTCCTAGCATTGCTTCCATGTATAAATGTGTTACATTCTAAGCTGATTCATCTCTAACTGACCTTTTCTTTAGTTCCTGATCCCCTTCTCCTATTGGCCTCTGTCGCTTTAAAGTTTCTGTTTAATACTACTTCTTGTAGACAAAATTTATCAGTAAGTGTTCCCTGTCCCAAAGAGATACAGTGCCTGCCCTCTCTCAGGGAATAATCACATGCTTCCCACCTGTGGCTCAATTCTGAAGCCATATTTGACTATCAATTTTCTCATCCTCCTTACTTTTCACATAATTAAGAACCAAGCTCTGGCAACTTCCTTTCCTAAACCTCTCTCCATCCTACCCCCCGAAACTACTCAAGGCTTCTTCAATCTAGTCCCACACTGCAGCCAAAGAATGACTCGATCCTGTCACTCCCCTGCTTATACTCCCTCACAGGCCAGTTGTCTCAGATAAAGCAAAGCCAGGGGTACCACATAACAATCTGGAGACATGCCTGGATGACTTCGCCTCTTGAGCGTTGGCTATTCTATTGGCACTGCAGCCATAAACAAATGTCCTCATCTCAGACCACCCCCCTCCCAAAACACATACCATTTCCAGTGTCTATACTTCATTATTCTTTGCGCTAGAGCTATTGTCTCTCCTTGGAATGCTTCCTTCCTCCGTTCTAACGAACTTTTATTCACTCTTTAAAACTTGCCTCCTTTCAACTGTCACCTCTGTGTGAAGCCGACTTTGACTCCAAAATACTCCCCTGAACATAGCCTGTGTTGCATGAATTCATTCTACAGACGATGAGCATCTACCATGAGATGGCAACGGGGCACTGTACGGACAGGTGTGCACAGATCAGGCCAGGACCCCATCCTCACAGATACATCTTGAAATGTACCACCAGAGTGCAAGGGAGAAGATACCTCGTATTGCAATTACTGTAATAATAACGGATCTCAGAGCAAAGAACCCCCTGCACACAGCTCGCATGACGTCATTTATCCCTTTGCTTAATATTAGGCGCCCCCCAGGTGCCCGGCTCCGTGCTGCGCACCTGGGAATGCACGGTGACTCAGGCCAGCGGCTCCGCCTCCGCCGAGCTTGCAATTGAGGCTCAGAGAAAATGTGACGCAGGTGGAGTTTCTCAACCCGGGGAAAGAAAGTAAGGGGCGATTCTACCCCCGAGAAGTCACCTGGCAATGCCTGGTTTTGGTTACCAGGACTGGATGATGCTAGTTTCTGAAGGATAGGACCAGAGATGCTGTTAAGCATCTAGCAAAACGGAACAGTCATCCCTCCACTCCCCCCACCCCGATTCCCGGCCACACACACCCATCCACACCCATCATACCCAACAAGGGATTATCCAACCCAAATACACACGGTCGAAGTTTCGAACCCCTGGCGCAGGGAGGGCTGGAGGGGAGCCGATGGCTGGGTTGCGCAGCGGTCCACAGAAGCAACAGCATCCGCAACAGATGGCCAGCTCGGTCAGATGCTCTGGGTCCCCGCTCCGCCCCGCCCCAGCCCCAGCCCCCAAACCAGGGACCCCGGACAAGCAGTACCTGCACCAGCATCCCCAACCAGCTGCACCGCAATGAGCTTCTTTCCAGAACCTTGTACCGCAGCGGCTGCGCGCGCAAGCCCGCGGGAGCCACTGGGCCTGCGCAGAGCCTCAGAACTACAACTCCCGGAGTGCACCGGTCCCGCTCTCACGAAGTCCTGGGCCTTCCATAGGCTCCCACCTGGCCTGTTGCGCATGGCCACTGGGAAGCAGCTGGGTGGGGCTCAGCTGTAGAATTATTGCTGCGCCAGAGGCCTAGAGGCCTAGAACCCTCTGTCAGCTTTTCATAACTGCGCGGCTCTGTCTCCTTGGCAACCTCAAAGCCTCTTCACCTGCTCCCTATTCTACGGTCCCCTGAAATCCGAAGTGGAAAAATCCGTTGCAGATGCACATTATTGATGCATTCAGCGCAAACACCACCACCACGAGGAATTAAATCTCAATCTCTGCCACCATGGTCTGAAGCAAAACCCCATCGAGTGGTTGCGATAGCTTCTTGTTTTCACCTTTCTTCTCTTGTCCATTCGCCACATCACCACCGGGCAGACATTTAAGAAAACATCAACGAGACTTTGTCCTTCCTCTGCTTGAAACCCTTCTCATTTCACTAAGAGTAAAAACCCAAGTCTTTACAGTAGCTTATAAGGCTTGATGGATTCTGAGCACCCATAACCTCCCGGACCTCTTCTCGCACTTCCTTGTCACAGTCGTTATGGTCCCACCCTGTTCCTCCAGCTAGCTTGGCACCTCTGACTGTTGTGTTCCTCCCCTGGGTAGCCATACAGCCCACTAGCCCACCCCTATGGGTCTTAATGAGCTAACTCCCCATCATTTCACTTAAACAGGAACCCATCTCCTCCTATTTCTGCTTCTAAAATGCCATGTAATTTTTTTGCTTGTTAACTACTTACTGTCTTCTCCACCAGAATATGAACTCCACAAGGATAGGGATTTTTTTTTAAATCTGGTTCCATATTGTATTTCCAGTCTCAGAACAGTAATTGTAGTAATGCCTGTAGTAACTCAAGAGATACTTGTGGAACATATATCTACATTTGCATGGACAATTTTCAGAAGGATTATTTGGTAGGTTCTAATAACTAGATGACTCTTGAAGCGATGGAGGTGGGACAGGCATTCTAGACTGGAGAAGCAAAGTCCCAAGACTTTAAAAGGTCAAAGCAAGCTCAACTAAATGAGCCACTGTGTTCACCTCACAGGCAGCAAGTGAGTAAGGAAACAGTCAAGAAGAGGTTTCCCCTAAGGAAAGAATATTGAAGGCTGTAAGAGAGAAAAAACAAGTAACATACAAAGGTAAACCCATCAAAATCACAGCAGACTTCTCAACAGAAACATTAAAAGCAAGAAGAGCGTGGGGTGAGATCTTCCGGGCACTGAATGAAAATAACTTCAACCCCAGGATACTCTACCCAGCAAAGCTATCATTCAAAATAGATGGAGCAATAAAAGTCTTCCATGATAAGCAGAAACTAAAACAATATGTGACCACAAAGCCACCATTACAAAAGATTCTGCAAGGGATCCTGCACACAGAAAGTGACACCCAACTTAACCATGAAAAGGCAGGCAGCACCAAACCACAGGATAAGAAAAAGCAAGACAGTAGAGAGTAACATCAAGTTAGGTACACACAATCAAACCTTCAAACAACTAAGATAACTAAATGGCAGGAATCACCACATACCTATCAGTACTAACGCTTAATGTTAATGGACTTAATTCACCCATCAAAAGACACCGTTTGACAAAATGGATTAAAAAAGAAGATCCAACAATTTGTTGCTTACAGGAGACTCATCTCACGACAGAAATAAGCATATGCTTAGGATGAAAGGCTGGAAGAAATTTACCAAGCCAATGGCCCCCGAAAACAGCAGGAGTAGCAATACTTATCTCTGACAAAGTAGACTTCAAACCTACATTGATCAAACGAGATAAAGAAGGACATTCCATACTAATAAAAGGGGAAATAGACCAAAAGGAAATAATAATCATCAATCTGTACGCACCCAATGTCAACGCACCCAATTTCATCAAACATACCCTGAAAGACCTAAAAGCATATATAAACGCCAACACAGTGGTTGTGGGAGACTTTAACACCCCATTATCATCAATAGATAGGTCATCCAAACAAAAACTCAATAAAGAAATCCAAGATCTAAAATATGCAATAGATCAAGTGGACCTAGTAGATGTCTACAGAACATTTCATCCAACCTCTACACAATATACATTCTTCTCAGCAGCCCATGGAACCTTCTCCAAAATAGATCATATCCTAGGGCACAAAGCAAGCCTCAGCAAATATAAGAAAATAGAAATAATACCGTGCATACTATCTGACCACAATGCAGTAAAAGTAGAACTCAACAACAAAAGTAAAGACAAAAAACATGCAAACAGCTGGAAACTAAATAACTCATTACTTAATGAAGAATGGATCATCGATGCAATAAAAGAGGAAATTAAAAAGTTCCTGGAAGTCAATGAAAATGAAAACACAACCTACCGGAACCTATGGGACACAGCTAAGGCAGTCTTGAGAGGAAAGTTTATAGCCATGAGTGCATATATTAAAAAGATTGAAAGATCCCAAATCAATGACCTAATGATACATCTCAAACTCCTAGAAAAACAAGAACAAGCAAATCCCAAAACAAATAGAAGGAGAGAAATAATAAAAATAAGAGCTGAAATCAATGAAATAGAAACCAAAAAAACCATACAAAGAATTAATGAAACAAAAAGTTGGTTCTTTGAAAAAATAAACAAGATCGATAGACCCCTGGCAAACCTGACTAAAATGAGGAGAGAAAAAACCCAAATTAGTAGAATCAGGAATGCAAAAGGGGAGATAACAACAAACACCATGGAAGTCCAGGAAATCATCAGAGACTACTTTGAGAACCTATATTCAAATAAATTTGAAAATCTAAAAGAAATGGACAGATTTCTAGATACATATGATCATCCAAAACTGAACCAAGAGGAAATTAATCACCTGAATAGACCTATAACACAAAATGAAATTGAAGCAGCAATCAAGAGTCTCCCCAAAAAGAAAAGTCCAGGACCTGATGGATTCTCTGCTGAATTCTATCAGACCTTTAAAGAAGAACTGATACCAACCCTCCTTAAACTGTTCCATGAAATAGAAAGGGAAGGAAAACTGCCAAACACATTTTATGAAGCCAGTATTACACTTATCCCAAAACCAGGCAAAGACACCTCCAAAAAGGAGAACTATAGGCCAATCTCCTTAATGAACATTGATGCAAAAATCCTCAACAAAATAATGGCAAACCGAATTCAGCAACACATCAAAAAGATTATTCACCACGACCAAGTAGGCTTCATCCCAGGGATGCAGGGGTGGTTCAACATACGAAAATCAATAAACGTAATAAACCACATTAACAGAAGCAAAGACAAAAACCACTTGATCATCTCAATAGATGCAGAAAAAGCCTTTGATAAGATCCAACATCATTTCATGATAAAAGCTCTAAGAAAACTAGGAATAGAAGGAAAGTTCCTCAACATTATAAAAGCTATATATGACAAACCTACAGCCAGCATTATACTTAACGGAGAAAAATTAAAACCATTCCCTCTAAAATCAGGAACCAGACAAGGATGCCCACTATCTCCACTCCTATTCAACATAGTACTGGAATTCCTAGCCAGAGCAATTAGGCAAGAAGAAGGAATAAAAGGAATACAAATAGGTAAAGAAACTGTCAAAATATCCCTATTTGCAGACGACATGATCCTATACCTTAAAGACCCAAAAAACTCTACTCAGAAGCTTCTAGACATCATCAATAGCTATAGCAAGGTAGCAGGATATAAAATCAACATAGAAAAATCATTAGCATTTCTATACACTAACAATGAGCAAACGGAAAAAGAATGTATGAAAACAATTCCATTTACAATAGCCTCAAAAAAATCAAATACCTAGGTGTAAACCTAACAAAAGATGTGAAAGACCTCTACAAGGAAAACTATACACTTCTGAAGAAAGAGATTGAGGAAGACTATAGAAAGTGGAGAGATCTCCCATGCTCATGGATTGGTAGAATCAACATAGTAAAAATGTCGATACTCCCAAAGTAATCTACATGTTTAATGCAATTCCCATCAAAATTCCAATGACATTCATTAAAGAGATTGAAAAATCTACTGTGAAATTTATATGGAAACACAAGAGGCCACGAATAGCCAAGGCAATACTCAGTCAAAAGAACAATGCAGGAGGTATCACAATACCTGACTTCAAACTATATTACAAAGCAATAACAATAAAAACAGCATGGTACTGGCACAAAAACAGACATGAAGACCAGTGGAACAGAATAGAGGACCAGATATGAAGCCACACAACTATAAGCAACTTGTCTTTGACAAAGGAGCTAAAAATATACGATGGAGAAATAGCAGCCTCTTCAACAAAAACTGCTGGGAAAACTGGTTAGCAGTCTGCAAAAAACTGAAACTAGATCCATGTATATCACCCTATACCAAGATTAACTCAAAATGGATCAAGGATCTTAATATCAGACCCAAACTCTTAAGTTGATACAAGAAAGAGTAGGAAATACTCTGGAGTTAGTAGGTATAGGTAAGAACTTTCTCAATGAAACCCCAGCAGCACAGCAACTAAGAGATAGCATAGATAAATGGGACCTCATAAAGCTAAAAAGCTTCTGTTCATCAAAAGAAATGGTCTCTAAACTGAAGAGAACACCCACAGAGTGGGAGAAAATATTTGCCAGCTACACATCAGACAAAGGACTGATAACCAGAATATATAGGGAACTTAAAAAACTAAATTCTCCCAAAACTAATGAACCAATAAAGAAATGGGCAAGTGAACTAAACAGAACTTTCTCAAAAGAAGAAATTCAAATGGCCAAAAACACATGAAAAAATGCTCACCATCTCTAGCAATAAAGGAAATGCAAATTAAAACCACACTAAGATTCCACCTCACCCCTGTTAGAATAGCCATCATCAGCAACACCA